GGAACACGAAGTTCTGGAAGCATTCGAACTTGCTATTTCCAAGTGCCAATCGAGGGCCCCCTTGCGTATCGCTGATGGTGCCATCAGAGTGCCAAACAATATCATCGTTGGTATGAGCAGTACCAAATCCCTGGCCAATCTCTCGGTCCGTCCGCTTTGGGGCCAAGATGCGCGATTCGGCGTCTACCGAAACCTCGATGAGGATGTTAACAAAGGCACAGCTGAGGCGTCCATGGGCAATGCAGCAGCCCTAAGGGATTTTGTAGCATTAATCGAAAGTATACCCGAAATCCTCGACACAGACGGCATGGCTAGCACAATACTTGAACACATAGTCAAGAACATACAGGAGTACTCCAGATTCGCTCAAGATCTCAGCTACGCTGAGGTGGTTGCAATGCCCATTGACTCCTTGATGACGGTTGAACTTCGCAATTGGTCGCGTCGCAACTTGGGTGTTGTGTTGTCTCTGACGGCTATCAGCAAGGCAGGTACTATTGGAGGCCTGGGTGAGCTGGTGCTGGCGTCATTGCGTTCGAAGTATAGCAAGCAGTGATTTGGTGTGTTTGAGCCACGCATAGATAGGTAGGACCAGATATAGCCTAGTATATTGGCTCAATGACGGCGTGTACGCAAGAAGTAATAGTGTAGGTAATATCAAAGAAAGTTACTTCCTATTTGTCTTGAAAATCGCAAAGCCTTCGTTCAATCTTCTCGGACGCGTATGAAATATCTACTGTCTAGACCTTAACGCTGAGCGAATGATTTATTTGACCCATAGTGTACCTACGATTGACTCGGTAAGAAGGCGAAACAAAGGAACCCCCCGTAATACCAGCAATACCAGTAGCTTTTCCGGGTTTGGTATATTACAAAAGTATATCAAGTATCTACACTGTTATGATACACAATCCACGGACCCAGCCGGCCAAAACATACAAGCAAGGTACCAAAGCAGAACCACTCAGGACAAAGCAGACATCCATATACAGCTAAGGAGCAAGAACTCCTCAGTAAAGAGTACCGCAGTACCAGTTCTCAGCCTTGTCCACATCACCAGAGCCCTTGTACTTAGCCAGCTGAGGATGAGGGCAAATAGGTCTCTGCTTGTCGACGCCATCAGCGACATCATCGTTCTTGAACTTGGTCGGGATGAGATAGTCAGGGGCCGTGCCGTTCTCGACCCAGTTCATGATAGCCAGGACGAGGTCGTGCTTGGAGTCATTAAAGCCGGGCACACCGAACACAGTTCCGGAGAGAGAAGCGGCCTGGCTGTCTCCGTTCATGTAGTAAGGAGCGTCTTGGTCGGAGGGCGTGCCGGTGCAGTGCTCCATACCGGGGATCAGGAAGAAGCGGTAGAAGTCGTCGATGGGAATGTCCTGGGGGCGGAGGGCTTCCTGGATGTGGTTGTACAGGTAGACGGAGGAGCCGGTCGCGATGGACGGGTCGGAGTAACCGTGGTAGTGGAGGAGCTTGCCGCCCTTCTTGTAGAAGGGGGAGATGTCGAAGTCGTCGGCGGTGGCGTTTCCGGGGTTGATCTTGTCGGAGAGAGCCACGAGGTCCGGGTTCCAGTCCTTCCAGGTCCAGTCGCCGCCGATCTGGAGCATGTATTGGATGTAGGTGACGAAGTCGTCGTCCAGGCTGGGGGCGCCGACTTCAGTGCCGAGGGTGTATCCCGGGAAGATCAGGGTGTCGTTGGCTTCGTACCAGGGGTTGAAGAGCTTGTTCACGGTCTTGAGTTGGGCTGGGGTCACGCAGGTGTCGTTGGAGGAGGTGGCGTTGCACATCACGGGGACGGGGTCGAAGACACATCCGAAGGGGTTCTGCAGGATGTTGTCTTTCAGGCCGTCCTGGGGATCGCACTGCTTCAGGATCTCGTCCTGGACAGCGGTCATTTGAGCATCGCTGACGTGGTAGTCTGCGGTTTCGGGGAGGTTCCAGATGGCAGTGAGGACGTTCCACAGCTGCTGGTGAGAAGTCCACCAGGCAGGGGCGCCGGCAACCACGCCGTCGAAGTCGTCAGGGAACATTTCGACTTCTTTGAAGCCCTGCTTACCGCCGGCGGAGCAACCCCGGTAGTAGCTGTACGAGATGTCCTTTCCGTAGTAGCCCTCGGTAACCTTCTTTCCGTTGACCACGGCATCGTGGAGGGCGCGGTAGCCCCAGTTGGTGAGGGCAGCTTCGTTGTGGTATCCGAAGCTTCCGTTGTTGCCCTCGTGGCCGGTGTCGGTTGACACACTGGCAAAGCCGTACCACATGGTGTTGATGATGGAAGACCAGCCGACAGACCCGGCGAATTCACCGTTGCCGACGGCCATGAATCTACCGTTCCACTCATCGGGTAGCACTAAGCCAACGCTGTGCTGGGTGTTGTTGGGCAGGGAGATGTTGGCCTGGGCAACACAGCCGGCAAGAGGAAGTTCATAGGCGCTGATGCCCATAGGATCGGAGGTCAGGCCATAGTTGTATTCAATGGGAGGGGTGAAGTTATATCCCTTTTCATAATGATTGGCGTAAAAGACGGTTGCATTCTTGGGAAGGTATTTAGCAATGGTGTCAACGCTGCAGTTCTTGGCCGCAGCCACGCCAGCAGCGGCGAGGAGAGGTGTAGTTGACTTCATAGAGGATGTCAAGTAGGTAAAGAATGACTGTAATGATGAAAGAGTGACGGTCGGAAGTCTGATGAACTGAGGTCTAAACAAGCAGGGGGAGAGAACAGCTTTTATATGTACAGAAGGAGATCGTGAGACATCGGCAACATCAAATCAATGGCTGCAGCTCCCAGGAACGGTTACTCCGACCGAGAAAGGAGCGGAAAGCCTGGCCCGGTACCTGCATATTCCGAGCCAGGTAGATTGATCGTTGGAGGCAAAAGCGGATATCATGCTCTTCGCAGTAAACCAGCGTTTCTGGCAAGAGGTGTCGTCGTACGTTCATCAGTTTCAATAGAGATCCCCCACTCGCTCCGTTGTTGATAGAGTAGATGTGCCGATTGTTGCCTAACGAGGGAAAGTCTCCGCCGGCAGAACACCGCCGATGCACGGGAAGAATCAAGGGAGAATATGGACTAGATGTAGATAGTGGAATTTTGTAACTAGTCTATAGACAAAACCGGAGGTCAGAGGTCAAGAATAAGTGGAGCTCGAAACGACCTCATGATCTTATCACTGGTAAGCTTAAAGTGTGCTTCTTTCGGACCCACGTCCAATTTCTGCACGGCACTGTCGGCACCGTTGATGACGACGAATATCCACGACGGGTTCAGTACTCTAACATATCCCAAACGTGTACTAAGGGGAGATAATAGATTTCAGACCTATTATCATTCAGCGATGCAATGTAGCTTGCCCATCGTCCAACATTGTGGGGCATCGTCCGCTCTTTGCAGATAATGCTTGGTTCGGGAACCACGTAATGCACCCCATCACCATGCAGGAACCATTTATTGTAGGAGTCCTGACACTCATTGGAGTATCTGGCGGCCAAAGTAGCTGTTCGTCTCCAAGTCATCGGACGAACACTTGCGAGCGCTGATTCAAGGGTTATGGGAAACACGTGAGCAATAGATCTTTAACACAATATTCTAAAGACCAGTTTGTGGTAGAAACTGCTTGTGTGAGCCTAATCGATATGCCGAGGAAGTTACACAGCTCACTGGTGAATGGTAAGGCTGAATCGACAAGGCCAGATTATGAGATTGGGGGATCATGAGGGGCCGATGCCAGGCCACTTTCATTCGACAAGCCGAAAGTCCCGAGAAAGAAGGGGATCGTTTATCAGAGCGTCCAAACTTACTGTGTAATTTAACAGGAAAAGGGTTAATAGTGGGTCAGAAAGGATTTGTCGCGAATACTTACATGGGGATGGACACTCATAGAGAGAAATCATAGTACTCCTTACTCCGTTTGAGTATTGCGTACTTGGGTCAGCACTCTAGTTATAGAGTCTAAATGCTAAGGGACTGAGCTGGTTAGTAAAGCGCCATGAGTATTGACCTTATATATCAAGACAAAGAGCGGGGGCTGATTTGGTTGTATGTATATATGATTAATCTAAGGTCTCGAGATCTTGTGTTGGTGGTGGTGGTGGTGGTGGGAAAAGAGACCGTATAGACAGAGGTGGCGAAGGATCAGGTGATGTCTAACTACAGTGGATTTCGACAAAACCATATCATCTGCCTCCACTATATTAATTCTCCAGGAGGTATTTATCCACAAGGGGCCCACAGGTGCTTAATGATTAAATTGCATGTAACTTTCACTACCTGTTCAATTGCAATGTGTAGCCTGTATACATACACTGAGTATAGACTGCGGCTACTACTTATACTATCACTCATTAAGTACTTACTGTTACTTTCCTAATATAGCACTTACTCTGTCTATTTTGTAGTTTCTGCATACTCCTGCCGATACAGATTTTGTTAGTAAGCCTCATTTCTCCCAATAATATATTAAACCATCTACTAGGTTTTCAATCTTGAATAATGAAAGAGTCTTTCCTTCTCTTCTAAACCAAAATTACATTTGTCTCCATCTTTATTTATTGGTATTATTTAAGCTATTTTTCTATCCTGGTCCTCTCTAAACATGTCTAGTTCAAGTACGTTAACTGTACTCTAAAGAAAGTCATCTCCCAGAGCAACCTCTTGGCCTCAAAATGGCACACCAAGCTGGAGAATTTGCGCGTGATTATAGGGCCAATCACGCCAGTGTTGGTGCACTGTAGGAGTAATACATATGCAGGAGTAGAGAAGGAGGTAGTAGAGATAGACTGGGGTAGATGCAACAACCGCAACAACTGTCGCCCCGTCCCAAGCTTGGAAATGGGAGTACCTGACAATCCACTCGATGATCGGGCTGGGAATAAAACCGCGCGGGTTGCTGGGTATGGCTGATCTGTGGGAGGAAATAACTCCAGATGCAAACCTGGGTAGATGGATCTAGCAACGATGCCACCCATCGTTCCAATGCATGCCTCGCTTTTATATGTATCCCCTCTCAAGACTTGGAAGTCTGACCCGGTCCATCGCGCCCGACACTACTTGTCGAAGCCTGGTAGATACCCTTATATCCTTCCACCGCTTCGCTCAACTCCTCAAACACAATCTGTGCGAGCTTGGCGTCTCGATACAGGACGACACCGTGGGGATTCTTGACCTCGATCAGGGCACCAAGAGCACCTTCATACCCGGCATCGACAACACCCGCCGTGATTCCCACCCCGGAGCGCCAAAGGGATGACCGCGCGAAAATGCTGCCCATGCAGTCCCGTGGGACCTGGACGGTTTCGTTGAAATCAACCAAGTATGCGCCTGGGGGCAGTGTGATGGCGTGGCTTGTGCTGTCAAACGGCAAGATGGAGGTTTTGGCCGCCTGGCGCTTCGTATTTTCGAAGTCGATGGTCGCTGCGGAGGTCCATACGGAAATCTGACGAAGGGTGAGGTCAATGCCGCAGGGTTGTTGCTGGGTGGCACCGCGGAGATTCCGCACTAATTGGCAGGTGACAACTTCAAGTCCGCTAAGGATCATGGTGCAACTTGTGTGGTACGTGTGGTAGTGATAAGCATATGGAGGCTTGCTGTGCAAGATGAAGTGCTCCTGAGTGGTATGAGGGAGGACTATAGAGTATTTATTTCACGGAAACAGAGGGAAGTGGATCAATCAATCAGATGGATGATAGGTCTGGCCTGGTAATCTGCTAAGATGGCGTGCACCCACTCAATTGGGGTTAGCACGGTATATGAATGACTATCGACAAATCCTCCCGAGCAACTGTTGGATAGCATATTCAACAAGCGGGCTGGAGAGGAGCACTGGCAGTAGAGCTCTATGCCTCCTCTATGCATCGGCATTGTCCCAGGCCGTAACCTTAGACTGAAGAGATGCTGAGGCAATGCCGATCTGCTAGCCTTGTTACTTGATAAGAATATAGCCCATTTCTTTAATGTTATGGTTCAAGAAGAACTAGCCTAGAAGGAGTCAGTAAGCAAGTCAAAATATCAAAGAAAAGAAACGACTATACTTATGTTTCCTACTATCAAAAATATAGATAACAAAGAAAACTATTTATAACTACCAGGATATAAGATTGTCGGAATTCCTAGGAACTGCACTTTATCTATCTTCTTAATAGTACTTCTTAGAGAATCGCAAGACAGATTTGAATTCCATCAAAGTAAGAAAGCAGAAAGTTTCTCGCTTATCAGGCAAATAGAATCAGAGAACTATGGAGCAAGCAATACTACCGAGACCAAAAATAATAAATAGCATCTAGACAGTACTCAAGGCAGGATTCAATGCAGTACAATAGTGAAACAGTTAATGTTCAAGCTATAACTATAATAGCACGGAGACCAGGCTAATCCGGCGCCGAGCCACGTGACAGCGGGCGGCACTCCCTCCGTTGCTTCAAGCTTACGGCCACCCTTGACCTGTCACCAAAGTCAACAAGAGTCCATGTCCCGGCCAGCCCCTGTCCTCTGGTATTTCGTTGTGGATAAGCTCTGCTTGGAGGACCCTGGAGCAATAAAGATGACTTGGGGATCTCTTTGCACGTTATTCAGCCCGCTAGGGTTAGTCCTAGCCACGTACGTTCACCATGTGTTCGGTTGAGTTGGACTTCGGAGTGCCTCACCTAGAGCCCGCATCCCCACCGCCTACATACACGTCATGAACAGCCACGTCTCGATCCTCTACGGTATCCTTGATAAACATCGCGTTCGCAAGTGGTTTCTGATGGCCGATTTACCCCAGGAATGGTTGGGAAATAATCTCTTTCTGCTCTGACAATCAGTATGGTTGGTACGCCATGTTGTTTGTTGGGGAGGCTTAGATGCCGGAATTTCTCGGAGTCCCTTAAGGCTCAATGACTTCACCCCGAACATCAACGACAGGTACGTACATGGCAGACATTAACCGTATGCTCTCCAGAAACTGGATGAGTGTGAGTACAAATACTTGTATCTGTGGCGTGGCTTGTGATATAGCTAGAGCCTACCTTCGGTTCTTACCCAGGAGTCAAACATGGTTTCGACGTGGTGTGCCAAAGTCAGGTCGCCGACCGTCGAACACTTTGAGTAATTAGACGGATGGCATCATCCTCTATGATACCTGATACTTTCCCCATTCACAAGGCTCGACTATCCTATGTCTTCGGTTTCTCGAAGACGTTCACCGCTGCCTATCAACATCGCCCCCCTTCTGCTTCTTGGTCCTTGATCATTATCAGGAAGCATGCGGCCCTTAACCTACGTTTAGCAATGAACAGCGCTTGTGCATTTTTGGGTGCCTACGATAGCTCAACTTGTTACACCACATCCACTGATGGCGAAGTGTTAATCTGGTGAGCCGCAACTGATGAATTGCGGAATCATCCCTTTGCGCCGTGCTGCTACTACAAGTCGCCTGAGCAGGGTGTTTGCTCTGATCTTTCTTGTCAATGTTTGTCAGTTTGCGGTTTATTTGCTCCCCGTAGATAGGTGTGTTCTGTTGTGGAGAGGATATACTTTCTCTTCCAGCCAGCGACCAAAAGCGCTATACGCAGGCAATGAGCCTGTAAAAGGTGGGGGGAAGACGGTGTTGATATGTTACGCGACAAAATTGGAGGAAAGACGAAATACCCGACCATGAGCCCAAGACAAGTCATCATTTGCAGAAGTGCAAGAAGGAGGTAGGGGAAAGGCAGAGATCGGTGCAGCTGGACCGTGATGGAAAAGAAGAACTTGAGGCTCTCCCGTGGCCCAGACATGGAAACAATGGCCATGATCGAGGCATGGGCAGGGAGTGAATGATACTGGGCTGAGGGTGTGCTATTCAGCGACGCTCATGTTTGACTGGGGGTTTTCGACATTTGAATATCTCCCCGTACGCCAGACCAAAGCGTCCCCAAGGGGTTTACCGGACAGCAATACCGGCCGTCACCTGGTTTTGCCGTCTCTGCACCGCGGCCTTGCGCCAGCATCCGTAGTAAGAGCCAAACTTCTGGCAAACCCGGAAGTGAAGAGGAAGAAGGGATCGGACAAGGAGGAACACTGGATCAGCGGCACGTCGGTGTTGGGCCGCCCCAGAGTCACCTGCTGGACTGACTCTCTTCACTAAATATCTCCCGCCAACAAAGTAGACTCCCGTTCCATCACCACCTTGCCAACTCTTGGTGGTTCTTCGTATTTTCTAGTACTCCCAAGGCCAACGAAAGCGGCCACGGGAAGCAATTTAATCCCCCTCGGGACCAACCAAAAAGACTGCGAGGTGCGTCTGCTCCCCCTTCCCCCTTCTAGAAAACGCATTTTCCTTGCCCTTTACATTCTGCAGCTGGTTCGAGAGGTGTTCCGGACACTGACGATCTGCTTCTGCCCAGACTGCCGGCCTTCGCGACGCCTTTTCCATCCTCCCTCGTCGACTCAACCCCCCGGAAAAACCGGTCTTCCGCACCACCCAATCCCCCGACAGAAAGAACTGGTGAACGCGGCCGACACACGCCCCGACAGCCTAGACGAGAGGAATAGGCTCCACCGGATTATCCTACGCTGACATCTACATGCGAATCTCCTCATCCTTCAGTGGGCCGGTCATTCTGATCCCTGCTGCTTTTCCTTCCTTTTCTGTTGGAATCCGATGCAGCTGAAGGAGAATACATGGCTGGGTCCCGCAGGAGTCCGGTGTTGAGAGACCAGTGGAGAGCCACCAGCGACACTAGAGACCCCAGAGACCGGGAGAGGCACCGGCCTCGAGGCTCGTACCGCGATAGGGGAAGGGACAAATTTCGCGACCGTGAGCGTCGTCGCCGACCCAAAGAGGGCAGACCCGACGACGAGCTTCCTCTACGGTCGCCGCCACCGCGTCCCTTTCCTCCTCCACCTCACCACGAACCTCGTCAACACCGTGATTTGTCCCCTAGCACCATCTCCGCCCGTGGCTCCCCTGGTCATCCACATCCGGAATTTCACCCTGGTCGGAAACTAGGCCGTCATCGCTCACCCTTACCCGCTGATTATCCTGGCGTGGAATCGCGTCGTTCCCTCGAAGCTGAAGTAACCACCGATAGAGGTCACCCTCGGCGCGACCACTCACCATCCGCTCCGCCTCCCTTCAAGCGTAAAAGAACGCGCAGTCCTTCTCCCAGTGGCTTCGATCAGCCTCCCACCCGGCCAAGCCATCGCTATCCTCCTTCTAATCACAGTGACGACCTGGATCGAGGCCTGCCATCCAACAGGCGAGGACGATTTGCAACTCGGGGTCGGTCTGGTCGGAGACCATCCCCCCGACGAGGGAGAGATAGGCGCCCACCCGGGGGTAGACGTCCAATATCCCCACGGCCTAGGCGCTCTAGGTCTCCCGTACGTGGTGGGAAATCTTACGCGTACCCTCGCCGTCGCTTTCACAGCCCTTTGCCGGAAGACGAAGTCGAAGACGAGCCCCGCTATCGATCACCTTCGCGTCACTCTGTGCAGTCCGGTGTTTCAAGACTATCTATAGCGTCTCGCCGCAATTCTTTGGGCGATTCGACGATGAACTCCGCCAGGCCCGCCCGCTCAGCAGCGGGTGACTCGTTTAGGTCTCTATCCCCGTCTCGGGAAGCCCCAGGGCACGATGCAGATAATGCCAGTGTTTCGGCCAACGGGGAGACATCACGCGATGCATTCCAGCGCCCGCGAACATCTCGGCCGTATGCGGATGCTTCCCAATACTCATCGACGATGCAGAACGCTACTCCGACGAACTCTTACCACGGATCGCCACAGCCTACTTCTCCATACTCGGGCGGACGCGGGGGACGGGTCCAGCATGTGTAAGTCGAGCCATCTCAGAACGCTTCTTAGCAGCATCAGACTAACCTCAGGCGATATATGTAGCCCTACCTCTCCGTACCGGCAGAACAACTACACCACGAGTGGCCCGCATGGTCACAGTTCATCCTATTCAGGACCTTCTTACCGTGGTGGGCATTCAGGGTACCGTGGCGGCTATCAAGGCCACGGCGGCGATCGTCGCTACATGAACTCTGGGCCTCAGAGCCATAATAACGGGCCGCCACATGGCCGAAGCAATTTTAACAAAGCACATTGGAGGGGCCAGGATCCCCGAGGCCGAGGCCCTTCCAGTCCTCATGAGCCCTATAGGCAACCATCAGCCAGCCCCCCGCCGCCCCCCGCCAACGAAGAAAGACCCCATGTTGACGATAATGATGACCGTTTTACATCAAGGAAAGAAACCCACGCAGAAGATGACGGTTCGAAGGCTACTGCGGCAGGTGATGCTCAAGGCAACCCACCTGCAACTAATGCTACCCAACAGTCTAATTCATCTGCTACCCCCAACAAAGGGGGCAAAATCAGTTTTGCCTTCAAGGCAAAGTCTACCCCAGCTCCAGCTCCTAAGCCAGTTCCCGACCTGGCCCAAAGAATGCTGGCACGAGAGCCACCGCCGCGCGCAGCTGAGCCACCTCCCCGCAATAGGTTATCAACTGGCCCGCCGCCACCGAAGTTCAAGCCCGACACACGTTTTGATCGTCGCGATCGTGACAGGGATAGGGACCGCGACCGCGATCGGCCACGCGACAGGGACCGAGATCGAGCGAGGATCGACCGCAGAGAGTTTCGGGAACCCCGTAGCTTTCGTGAAGCTCGAGATCCACGCGATATGAGGAGAGATGACCGACGATTCGAACATCGCAATGAAAGAAGGAGAGGTGATCGAAGACAAGATTTTCGTCCCGAGCGCCGTCGCGAGCGTTCTCCAGAACCAAAGAAGCAGCCAAAGATCTTGACTCGTCCCAAGCCACGTCCCACCCTCTCTGAAGAGTTTGCCCAGTCGGACTCGGTTTACTATCGAAAGCCTGGCAATGAGTCTGTCATTGGTGCCGGTACATATGGAAAGGTCTTCAAGGCAATCCATGTCTACACACAGAAAAAGGTTGCATTGAAAAAAATACGAATGGAAGGCGAGAAGGACGGCTTTCCCGTCACAGCTGTGCGGGAGATCAAATTACTCCAACATCTTCGCAACAACAACGTTGTCAGCTTGTTGGAAGTCATGGTTGAGAGAAACGAGTGTTTCATGGTCTTTGAATATCTCTCACACGATCTGACTGGCTTGATTAACCATCCGACCTTCACGCTGACGGCAGCTCACAAGAAAGACTTGGCTAAACAGATGTTTGAGGGCTTGAACTACCTGCACCACCGTGGGGTCATGCATCGTGACATCAAGGCCGCCAACATTCTCATTAGCAACAGAGGGCAACTGAAATTCGCGGACTTTGGTTTGGCCCGTTTCTTTTCCAAGAGCCGCCAACTGGATTACACCAATCGTGTCATCACCATTTGGTATCGACCACCCGAACTTTTGTTGGGTGAAACCAGGTACGGTCCGGCGGTCGATGTCTGGAGTGCGGCGTGCGTGTACGTCGAGATGTTTACGAAGAAAGCTGTCTTTCCCGGAGAGGGCGGAGAGATCAGTCAATTGGAGAAACTTTACAATTCACTTGGTACGCCAACTCGGCAAGAGTGGCCAGACATTGTCGAGATGCCCTGGTTCGAGCTGATGCGGCCGACTGAACGGCGCAAGAGGATATTTGAAGAGGTCTACCGGGAAGTTCTATCGCCCGCTGCTCTGGATTTAGTTTCGCAGATATTCCGCTACGATCCTACAAAACGACCAAGTACCGAGGAGATTTTGTCACACCCATACTTTGTTTCAGAGGAGCCAAGTGCTCAACAAGCTGTCGAGTAAGTTCGAATGCATTATCGCCCATGCTACAATATCGCTAACGCATCTCAGATTGGAGAATATTGAAGGTGACTGGCATGAGTTTGAGTCCAAGGCCCTCCGTCGCGAGAGAGACAAAGAACGTCGTGCTGAGTACCAGCGAGACAAGGAGAAGCGCAAGGGGGCACCGTCTGCACCTCCGAGCGAGAGAGACCCCAAGCGTGTCAAGCAAGACGGGTCTGAAAGCGGACCACCTTCCGCACCACACCCGGGGCAGTGAAGCTTGTATGTAACATCCGTGCAGCCCTCTCCAACCTGCCGTTCATATGAACTTTCCCAACCCAACATATTGAAACAGGGGTTCCCGGAAAGCGTGCGCGCCATCTTAAGCGTGTGTTGTCGACGTTGTGCATGTTTACGCAACTCTGCAAATGAAAACAGCACCACCGGGGCTAGCTCCCATGACAGAACTTCTCCCTACACCCTTTCTTCTCTCCTCACCTACCCCTACCACTATCATCTACTATGCGGAACTGTGACCGACGGGCGATATGCACACGGCTTCATCTTGAAGAATGAGTTCCGAGCATTCTACATTTATGGTCCAGCATCTTTGACAGTTGAGGCCTTTTCCATCCTGGGCACACTTGATCCGTGTATAGAATTTATTGATACGACAATACAATGCCATTTTTCTCTTTCCATCTTATTCTTGTGTACAGGGGCCGTGGTTGTAGAAGATCATCTAATCTCAGGTGTCGATCCGAGTCAACTTCTCACAAATATCGATATGTATGAGTGTAGCAGAAGTGAACTCGCACGTGGGAGAGCAAGTTCTAGTCTGCCATGGGACAATCTACTACAAACAGCCACGTCAGCAACTGATGAGGCAGAGCAGTGACACGCAGAATAGGAGCAAATTACGGCAATCAGACATGCCAGTGGACCTCACACTCGACCAGCGTATGTCTACACCACCGTAGTAGTAGTGTAGCAGCGGTTGAGCACCTCGGATTACCAGAGTATGTAAATGAAAGCTTCATCATGCAACGTAGAAGACCGGGAAGCGACCGACAGGCCGTTGTTCAACCGGACAGACAGCCTGCAGGCAGCACAGGGAGACAAAACAGGAAGAACGCACCGGCAATTAGTCGAATTACTACAGATGCGCCGGACTAAGATTCCACAGCTGCTACGATTCAATTCTCAGGGGGCCAAGGCCAAAAATCATAATATTGGCAAAGGCATGTCCCGTCATACAGGTCATCACCGCATCATGGAGCCCGGAAGAGCCCTCGTGATGATGGTTTTAGAAGCGGGTATTAAAAACATTCTCGACACACTCATCGGAATCGCCAGTGCAGTTGAATATTCGACAGAATCAAAAGTGTGCAGCCAGCGATGATTTGAGTTGGTGGTCTTGGGTTTAAAGAAGAAAAAGAAGAAGAAGAGATGCGAGAAAAATTCAGCGGCTTTAATAAAGGGCGCCGCATGGAAAAACGACGGAGCGGGCGGACAGGCGGGGCGGGACGGTGATTGGCTGGCGGGCAGCTGGCTTTCTTCACTTCCAGAAACCGCAATTCCGCATTTCTCTTCTTCCCTTCCCTTTCCCACTTCACATCTACCAAAGTATCTACTGCTTCTTTCCCCCCCTCGACCTTCTTAGAACTTCCCTCCTCACGTTCACGATCACGATCACGATTCCTCCTCCCCCCGTATCTTCGTCACCTTCTATTCCTCACCTCGCCTCGACTACCGTCCTGACTGCTCCGCTCGCCGCGTCCCTGCTTGTACCCTCAATTAATCCTATCTAGTAATTTTCAGACTTGGGTCCTGTGTCACTCGATCTCCCTGCATTGCTCGGTACCTTCGCCCACGACCTCGAATCTCTTCTTCCTCCTCCTCCTCCCCTTCGCAAAACTACCCGACCGCCGGATCCTGTGTCCCCGGCTGATGATCGCTCGCTTTCTGGGCCGTCAGTAGCTATCTCCATGGATAACGCAAACCTCTGGACTCGCCGATCCAAGTACGTCCCACTCCGACACGATGACTTTGCCCGCATGCTTGTGTGGCTGATGCGACTCAACTAACCTGTTTAATCTTTTGTTCCAATCTATAGCACCTCCAAGTTGTCTCTGTCTATGACGGGGACGGACGGCGCTCGAGTTGAACTTCCCCGCGCCACCAAGCGTTTCGGCCCCGACAGCTCCCACGGCGGCCGGTCCAACCCTTTCAACGCCCTCTCCCCCCTCTCCGGCGGCGTGTCCTCTCCGTCTACAAACGCCTCCTCTGCATTCGGCCTGGGCTCCGGTGCCTTTGCGTCGTTTGGAACCCCCAAAACCCCCGGTGCACCTTCCGACCTGAAAACTCCCGGCGAGAAGCGTGAAAACCCTGTCGACCAGGTTTCCGCTGCTGAGGCCGGCAAACCTAAGGGCGCTGCCTTGACGCTCAAGGAGCACCCGCTCAAGTCCACTTGGATTATCTGGTACCGGCCTCCCACACCTAAATACTCCGATTACGAAAAGTCTACCGCTCCGCTTGCATCCATATCATCAGTAGAGAGTTTCTGGTCGATCTATTCGCACCTAAAGAGGCCCTCTCTGCTCCCCACAGTCTCCGACTACCATATCTTCAAAAAGGGCATCCGTCCGGTATGGGAGGACGAGGCCAATAAGAGAGGTGGAAAATGGGTGGTGAGGCTGAAGAAGGGGGTTGCGGATCGCTACTGGGAGGATCTCCTCCTGGCTATGATCGGTGACCAGTTTGCAGAGGCTAGTGATGAGGTTTGTGGTGCGGTGCTCAGTGTGCGGAGCGGGGAGGATGTTCTGAATGTGTGGACCCGCATCGATGGCGGGCGGAACATCAAGATCAGGTATGTCATACGTGGACACATCCCGTTGGAAGCGACATCGCAAGTTTTCTAACGTGTTCTGCAGAGAGACAATCAAACGTCTGCTGAACTTCCCGGCCGATACCAACATCGTCTGGAAGAGTCATGACGACAGTATCGCCCAACGTTCGGCCATCGACCAGGCTCGCCAGGAGAAGGCCGCCGGAAACGCCGGTCATCACCACCATCACCATCACCATCACCACCACAACAACAACAACAACCACAATCACAACCAGCAAAACCAGCTGGGCGATCGACGAAGAGTTACGGCGAATGACGAGGGGGATAAAGGAAAAGGCACGACATCTTGACATGCTTTACGTGGGTTATGATCCTGTATAGTAAAGGCCACACAAAAATCTCATTGGGATGATTTGGGATCGGGGCATTTAGGGCGAAATACTGAGTGATCTCGATTTGGGTTTTTATTTTTTTAAACTTTTTTTTTCTGTCCATTTTATGTCAATTCATGGGCGCTCCTACTGCACGTGGAACTGCAAATTTGGGGTGCTCGGATGGGATGAAGCGTAACTACTTTTATTACTGCTATACTTAGTATCTTCTACTTCTACTTCCTCATCTGCATGAAATGTGATTGGAGATACTATTTATTGATCTGCTAGTGACGTTTTTTTCCTAACCAGACTAGTAGATCGTGCATGTAAACCACTACATATTTATTCCCCGCATGCTTTTCGATTTCTCGCTAATTCCCAATAAACTCGGGTCTTTTTGAGAACCCACGTGGAATTGGATCGACTTTGTCCTACTGTCTACACCTGATTTCATTCCTTAAACATAAAGCACTAGAAAAACAAGCAATCTACCTAAACCCCCGCTATGAGTTGATTTTCTTCTCCACCCCGACACCCCCCCTGCGGTAGAATTTCCACGCTTTGGGGCCAGCAGTCCACTCATGTATCTACCTCCCTAATTTAATTTCTTCATTTCTTCCCTATCCCTTCACATCTTGGAAGCCGCAGATACTATCCCCAACCACCATCTTATTTATTTCACTTGTATCTCATGAACCCTAGATGTGAAAAGCGCCACTGATCCACTGCTACGTGAATAGTCAGGATAGAAATTTTTACGGTAAGTGGAGCCACGGCCAATGTAGACCAGGGACATGACACCCTGCAGGCTAGTCTGTTATATGCTACGGCAGGGGTGTGATACATCATATTCAATGACCGTAAAAGGGCATTCGGAATCTAAACTTGCATTATGGAGCACTGTGAGTGGGTGATTGAAGGTGCTGCGGTGCATTAGTTACTTAGATCGTGGTAGGTATAACTATAGCTTGAAGCTGGAGGATGTAGTTACTATGGGATAGAGGTGGACGGTTAGTTGGGGTGCTGGTGCATTATTTTTGCTACTTACTTCTTTTGCTGTTCTTGTTGCAGCCCTTAGGAGTTCTTTCGAGTGAGGCGGATTATCTCTCTGTGGCTACTGGATTAGCAGTTCTCGGACACTTCTAAAGCTCACGGCGTCACGGCTATAGATTGATGTGTTAGGTGTCCTTGTATGGGGAAGGATAGATTGCTCGGTCTGTGAATTCCTATTTTTATCCCTGATATATACAGATCAATAGTAATGACTATGTATCATATGTTGAAGAGTTGGTGGTTTATTTTCATTTGTCGTCCTGTGATCCTCCTTGGGCTTTTCTGCACTATTTCATGTCCCTTATAATTCTTGAAAATTGGTGGATGATTCTAATCGGTTTGTATTACTTGTTTTGTCATTACAAAGAATATTTTCGAGCATTACTATACTGCAAAATACCGAGTTTAGTATCTCCTCCTACTAGGTGCTCAACCAGAGTCCTATATCTACTAGGCTCGTATGATTATATAAAATGGAATGAATGGTGGCTAGTACTATAAGTTGTCACTACTACTACCCCTACTATTACGGATGCAGCATCAATGTGTAAAATGGATTCACTCTTGTGAAAGATCATAAGAAAAAAACAGGTACAATGTATATTGAAGCACCATATACATGAGCAGCATAGTACATTGTAGAAATGGAATAATCTCACATGATTAACCAAAACCATAGAATTATCTATCTACAGCAAATGCACGAGACACTACTAGTCCGGCCACTAGTGCCCGCACTAGTCAGCAGATTCCTAGGGCTCCGCACGCCGGCGGGCAGAATCCTCCCACCGCCTTTCTGGCCCATCCATGATGCATTTCTCTTCATCGCCATGCCCACTTCTGCTCGGTATTCGCCGAATATGAAAACCCTCCTGGCCTGTCCGGTCATGCAATGACCTCGCTCGTGACTATATGCCATTCTTCAAGCAACTGTCAGACTTCCTCTCCGGCCGGACCTCCAGTCGACCCCTCTCCTCCCCGCAAACCTCCCCCGATCCTGCTCCCCCATCAGATGCGACCTCCGACCACATACAGCGGACTGAGACGTCCGGCGCATGGAATCCCGGTTCGCCTGTAGAATACGGGTCTCTACATCCCTCACTTGACAGCCTTCACCCGGTTACTGTAAGTATCCGTACTCCGCCCAGCGCTTTCGGGAATATCGTGCGATTATTCTTTCGCAGCCCATGTCTTGGCCTCTAAATTTACATTTTCCGCTCTGCTAACACCGGCCGTGATAGACTGCTTTTAGCAATGCCGAAGGACTTCGACATCCTTACGAACACCGACCTGTACGTCCACAATACCGCCAGACCGTTCCTCGATCAGAATCAGGAATGCGTCGCCTGTAAATATGGCCTCGCAATGCGGATATATACCGAGCGATACTGACTCGATTGATATTAGGTCTGGCGATGCAACACATGCCAAGTCGCGCCAGCGTTCCGAAGCATACGATGAACTCAGGTTGTTTCCTCCCAATAAATGGTGTGTTCAATTTTGCGCAATGGTCTCAAAGGAGGTATGCTGATCAGCGATATCCACTTTATAGGAATGACCCCAGTGGGATTCCTATAGTGCCAGGACAGACGAAAAGCAATAAACCTAAGGTATGATGAAATTTGGAACCGAAAGATACTACTGTGCCCGTGCTGACAGCAGGAACAAGTCACCTTTCAGACCCGTGGATACGATATCGAAAGGTCGAGACAGTGGACCGGTTCATGCACAAGGAAAACCGAGTCGCCTACGTAACAGCCAGCCAGGAAATATCACAGGATACGCAGGCTCCGAAAGACCCAATAAACGGCGCCGCCAGGATACCCTCGATTCCAGCCATGGAAAGTTCACAAAACCATCGGACAACGATGTTGAGCACCACGCTCAGGATGCGCCCCGCATCGCCGGTCACCCACCACGTATGTCTCCTACTTTGAGCCAGAGTTCAGGGAAGCAAAAGAAACAGCGGAATAACAGACGCTCAAAAGTGGACGAGTACCGAAGCACTGAAAATATCGTGAGACCATCCCGGATACAACCAAGCCCAAAGCGTGGCCCCTTACCCAGTTTCGGCGCACCGTCGGATGATGACCGCGACGAACGTTTTACAAAAAATGCAACCAAAGAAAGACGGAGAAATAATTCTTTCATTTCCGACATAGACTCCGGCGCGAAGCAGGAACGACCTTCCAAACATGAGATCCTAGAAAGCGTCGAAATCATAAATGCGAAATCTCAGGACATTGCAAAGAAGACAAAGATGGGTTTGTTCCTTCATGATCCGGAAATCGCGGCAAAATCCAGAAGACGGGTGTCTGAATCGCGGGAGAGTCCCGATGAACTTCAAGGGGCGGTAACGGTGCGGCCACCGCCCGCTCAAATCGGAGGCAAGAGAGCTGAGCTTGGAAGTCAAAGCATGACAGACCATGAGCATCTGTCTCGAGACATTAAACCAACCATTTTCGAAGCCTCCGGGGGTAGCAAGAAAGGGAAACGGAAGAACAAGAAGACCAAGGCTTCGGAGATGTCAAACCAACGATCTTTCAGAGCAAATCTCGTCCGAACTGGTCCTATCGAACAGCAAGCATCGGACGGCAAAACCATCGAGGTCCACATCGACATGACGAAACGCACAATCGCACTGTGTCACGAGACAGATTCGGAAAACGTTTTTGAAGCGCCTCTTTCCAGAGTACGACAGATCCTGAAGGCAGAAACACCGAGCAATAAGGTCAGATTAGTCCTATCAAAGACATCTGAACTCGACAATCGAATTGATATAGAGTTTATGTCTTCCACTGTGAAGGAGGAATTCTGCTGTTTGTTGGGTGAGGTCGACGTTCGTGACAAGTCAAGGTATGTCTGATCTTTGTTCTCCTGGCACTCGTGCTATTTTTCTTTGGCTCTATCGATGCTGTTTCTTAGTCCTACCTTCTGCTGTTGAACTAAGGCTGATACGAGAGCAGCGAATGGATGGACAAAGCATTTAACAAGGCCCAAAGAGAAATTAAACAATCTACAAATGGTCTAAAACGGCCATCATCGGAAGGCAGTCCTGAGCAAGTGCCGGACAAACAGCGTGAGGCCACCAAGCGGGTTAAGCTCACGGACAACCTGCGAGATGAAAACGGGGTTGCCGCTGGAAGACAGCCGTCGCCGCCGGATGCCGCCTCTCGGGAATGTGCAAACCCCTCCCTTACTGCACCGAAGCCCAACAAGACACCCCCATCTCAGCCTAAAACGAGCCCAAGCCGTGTGTCGAAGAGCGCCACGGACCCCGGGGTGGAAATTCCCGTGAAGAAGTCTGCGTCCAGCATCACCACAAGAGCCATGTCGCGTCTTCCTTCCGCCGCGACTACTGTAGTGTGGTATGTATTGGCTGGCTAACATTTCATGGGGGAGTGCGACTGACGAATTATGACAGTGACGATAGCGATGATGAAAATACGCAGCAACCTTTACCAGCCGTAAACACTGAAAAGTGGCATAAGTATGTGACTCTCCAAAAACTGGTACGCATCGCTGCTGACTATGGACTAGGCCCCTTGTTTATCCGCTGGTCGGGAAGAAGAAGGCCGAGGTGGATGTTTACGACCTTGAGCGACTGCGCGAAAATGAATTCTTGAATGACAACCTTATCGGGTTTTACATTCGATTCTTGCAAGACCATCTGGAGCGCACCAATAGTGAGGCGGCGAAGAGAGTATATTTTTTCAACTCCTTCTTTCACGATACACTCATGAACGTCCCCCGAGGCAAGCGGGGCATTAATTATGAAGGCGTGCAGAAGTGGACGAGAACCGTCGACATATTCAGTCACGATTATGTCGTGGTCCCCATCAACGAAAGCGCGCACTGGTATGTTGCCATAATCTGCAACTTACCAAGCCTGCAGGGGATTGTTCAGGAAGGGCTTGATCCCAACAAGCCTACGCAAGGCGAGAAAGAGCCTTCGGGGCCACCAGACAGTCAGGTTCAGGAGATCCCTGAAACTCCAGAGCCGGAGGTAACCACCAACAAGGGCAAGGAACACAAGCATTCCAACGGCTCAGACTCTACGAGAGCAGAGTTAGCTAGGCAATCTCTCGAAACGATGAGGATAGCTGACAGGACTGGAGAAGACAAGCCTGCAGAAAGTCCTGCTGCAGACCAAGAGTGGCCTGAGCTTGATGGTAGCCCAGAAGGGCCTTTTAAAACGCTTTCTAGTCTTACGGAGAAAGCAACGACGCCCGAACAACTTGATACGAAGGAAGCTCCTCAATTGCCCGAACCATCAGCGAAGCCTCGCAAACAAAAGGCGAAGCGAGCGGGCCCCAGATACGATGTCTGCCAGCCGATCATCATTACTTTTGACTCGCTGAATGTGCCCCGTTCGCCAACAATAAGCTCCCTACGTGAATATTTGTACGAAGAAGCAAAATCGAAGAAGGGAATCGAAATCGACAAAGGCCTGATCAAGGGTATGAGGGCTCGGGAAATACCTCTGCAGCCCAATTATTCCGACTGCGGTCTGTACCTTCTGGCGTACCTGGAGAAGTTTGTTCAAGATCCGGATGTATTTGTCAGGAAGCTTCTCCGGAAGGAGATGGATCCAAAAAGCGACTGGCCTCCGCTCAAATCTGGTCTTCTCCGAAGGCGACTCCGCAAATTCCTTGACATGCTTTATGACGAGCAGGAGCAGCTGAAAAGCCATAAGATCAGTGACACAGACACCATGGTGAATAAGAAGCCGGTATGCTACCTGCTCGGCAATCCCGTGCTGGAAGATGCGGAGAGCGAAAGCAAACGTTCACCCCGGCATGGGAAAGCGTCACCCAATAACTCAGAGGACCATGCTCCAGCTGTGAGTTCTGAACGACATTCGAAGGCTGCAGTGGAGACCGGCTCGGATCAGGAGATATCTCAAAAGACGAGCAGATCACCGGTAGTGGACGCGAAACAGTCACGGCATCACGAAGCACTTGCTGAGCAAGATGTTGTCCTAGTTCCAGACAGTCAGCCGGAGGCAGCGTCGTCTAAGGTAAATTCCAAGCCCGCAAAGACTCGACGACAGAGCCCGGAGTCGGAGACACATCCGCGCACCGTTGTCGACGTCAAGAAAAATGCTCGGGAAGGCAATGAGCCTGACGACGCCGTGAGTGCCGTAGCGGTCGAGACGCAAGTACGAGGGACGCCCACCAGGTAGTCAGCCTTGCACATAGTAGTAACGAAAAGCTCTACCTCTAATACTTATCTTATGCATTGTTGGTTTTGTCATTTTCCTAGTCCGTGCCATCCGCACGCAGGCGTTTTCGGGACACCGGGGAGGAGGGTTGAGTTGACAGTTGTTACGGGTTGCATTAGATACCAAGCATTTGCATGCGATTGATTCGAGGATATTCATGAAAAGAGCGGTGATTTGAATTGTATATACCGATATGTGATAGAATCGGATGATCTGATTTAGCTCAACTGGAAATACCATTCTATCTATTATCTACCAATCCTTCTCATCCGCCTCCACCCACCACGCCATCTTATCCCGCTTGAAGGCTTCAAAGTCCCACTCGGCATCCTCTAAACGCTCCTTACCAGCAGTCCACACATAGGTCACGGCCTCTACTTCTTTCCCCTCCTTTGTCTCGCTGCCCTCTGTCTCCGCTGCATCCAAAACCTCTTGTATATCCCCTGCTTTCCCATTATCACCCTCATCATGATGATGGTTCTCTAAAACCCTCACCCTAACCACCCTCTTCTCATACTCACTCCCCTCGAACCGATCCAATCGATACACGTCCCCATCTGTCAATCCCCACACTACTGTGCCTAGCACAGATGCCTCGCCATCACTACCGGCAGTAGTAGTATCATTGCCATCATCTGCACCAGATGAAGAAGGTGTGGGTATAATACCCGGATAATCTGCATACCGAACTCTATGTCGTCGGTATCCATGCAGGATTGCAGGCTTGACTGTTAAAAGAGCCTTTTGCCATGGCTCGGGGGTGGAGTGGCCGTGGATTACGCGGTGGAGGATGGGAGGGGCCATTAGGGTTCCTTTAGAGGTTTAGTAGATGTGGAGTGGAAGGGGAGAAAGAGGGGTGGGGGTACCGTAGAAGAAGAGAATGTGGTCGTCCATTTTATCTCCTTGTATCTTCTAATGTATATATATATAAATGGTCTATTGTACTGTGGAGTTTGGAGTATTGGGTGGAGGAGAGGGGGAATATGCGGGGTCAATTGGTGTTGGTGTTGAGGACGTGTTGTGGTGGGTGTAGGTAAGAAAAGGAGATAATCCTGTAGTAATAAAAAGAGTTATTAATATAGATGTCAAAAGAGAGTATGCAATTGTCTATAATGACGTCGCGCGCAGCAATTCAGCGTAGAAGTTGAAGAGAGTGAGTAACAAAGTAAGAAAGCGTCGGAGAAGATAAGTTGACTACTATTGGAGCTTATCGATAAGCCCCCATCCAGTAAGCCCAGCCAATCCCGAAAAAGGCCCATGTGGCTTCAAAGCTCCGCCCATCTTTGTCTCTCTATCCTCAATACTAGTACGAATTCTCCCCGATTCGCGACACGACAACTTCACAGGGAGTAATTGTCCCTATCTTTTATTTTCCCCGTCCTATCTCCAGTCCCGATTTCTCCTTACAGAGGGACCAAGGGAGACAATGCATTCCACCCTCAACCGCGCCCAAGGCGTCTTCGGCTTCTTCACGACAGTCGCTCTCTTCGTCGCCGGTCTCGCGGCTCTCAGCGTGTTTCTCTATCCTACTGACGATGTGACATCCAGTGTGAAGTTGCGCGATGTGAAAGTGTACGTGTACCATCTTTCTCCAATCGAATCCAATCCCACCCAATCCAATACCTACTACAACAACAACACAACTACCCCCATAAGCAAGAAGAATGGAATAACTAACACAACCAACCCAACAGAACAAAAGGCCGTCCCCACTACTACAGCACGCGAAAGGAAGAATACGCCGCCATGAAATTCGACCTAGACGCTGGTACTTCCATCCCTCCCCCCTCCCCCCTGCTCCTCAACTTCCCCAACACCACCACCACCACTACACTAATACTAACCATTCCCTCAATGAACCCAAAGACTTAACCCCCCTCTTCAACTGGAACACCAAACAACTCTTCGTCTACGTCTACGCCACCTACCCTTCCGAACCCTCGAATCCAACCACCTCCGCGCCCTCCCACTCCGTCATCTGGGACACTATCATCCCCGCCCCGGAGTCGCCTTACTCCTTTAATGCCTTGCGCAAGAAGTTCTTCCCTTCTGCATCGTCTGCGAACAAGAAGCGCAGCACGAAGAAGACGTCCACTACTAGCAAAACTGCCAAGAAAGCATCTGAGCCCGGGAAGCTGAGACTCCGCGACCAGAGAGCCAAGTACTCCATCGGAGATGTTTCGGGAAAGATGGCCGAACGGGAGAATGTCACTCTCTCTGTAGGGTGGAATGTGCAGCCGTGGGTTGGGGCGCTGTGGTGGGCTCCGGAGACTGGGGGTGCGATGAGGACGAAGGGCGATGTCGGGACGAGTAAGGCTTTTGGGCTGCCGGCGCTGAAGGGGAGGAATGTTGGGACTGCTTCTGCTGCTGGTGCTGGTGCCGGGGCGGCGTAGGTGGAGGAATTGTTGGGAGTATAGTGAGTGATGGTTAGTTTTGTTCATGTAGGAGGGATGGAATAATTGCATTGGGTTTGTTGTTATTTTTTTTTGGGTGTTTATTTATGCATGGATGGGCTTGTTTTTAGTCTTTTGAGGTTGAGCATGTCATCTACTTGGATTGTAGAAATAGAGAACCTCGACTCCGATTAATGATGCTATCGACTCCCTCGTCGCTCATTTGAGGGCCTTATGACATAACAATACCCAGCACAGTCGGATGAAAAGGGGGAAAGAAACAGCAGCCATGTTCACATGAAGCTTGATTCATCCAGCACCCATCACGGAATCGTGCCATACGTTGTGTGATGACCGCCGCGCTGAATCCGCTCGGAATATACTCCCGGCGCCCGACGTGGTGCATCGCCGGTCCCTGCGTTGCGATTGGCGTAGTATACGTATTCGAGATAGAATGCGTGGACATGGCCGGGCAGGTACCTGCACAAAGTGGACTCAGTCAGAAACTATTCACTTCAGGGTAATCCTGCGAAGGCAAGAAGGAGTATGATTAGAACGAACCCGAGAATCGTCAAGAGTATATTGATAAGTAGGTCAACACTGCAACCCGAGATCATAAACACACCGAGAGGAGGTACTAGAGAACCAAGAGTATTAGCTTCAGCTTCAGAATAGTCCAGTGTCAGTATTCAAGAGGAGTGGCTGCATACTGAACAACGTGATGAGAATCAAGCAGAGCATGGAGCATGTGCCGGCCATCTTTGTTGATTTTAATGGCTATGTTATAACGGTGATATAATAGTAATGTCTGATTAGGACCGTGTGGCGGACTTGACACGCTTGGTAGAGTCCAGATAGGTGCCCAGGAAGCTGAGGGATAGAATCACAACCAGCAGGAAGTAGATGTAGATGGGGACGTTGTCGTCATTGTTGGAATTGAGACGCTTCATTGTATATAAATCGAGAAGGCGAGTGGATCAGTCACAAGGTTTCACTGGCGTTTCTGGATCGACGTCACCGGGATGGGAAGGTGGTGCGGTAGGATCAAATCAATTTCCCAAGAAATCAATCAGCTGTCACAAGTTGAGTTTGATAGAACAACACAGCAGCCGAGTCGAGCGATCGATCCCTTGCCAGGCCACTAACAAGGCAGAAATGTTTTTTTTGATTTGGCCTGGAATGCCCGGAATCCATTCCGGCTGACGTCATCCCGCAAGCTGCCACAAATGGGCCGCGCTTGCCTGTTTGGGCTTAAGGCCGAGCTACGCAAAACCTGGGGTAAGTGGGGAGTCAACTAGTAGTAGATAAGAGTAAGATGTAGGAGAGGCAGGTGCCATTGTTGCTGCTGCTGTTTGTATATCTCCCAATATATACGACTTCCCTTCTCTGTCCCTTCCAACCCCATCTATACTGCATCGATCGACGCACGTGTCGTCACCTGTTCGTTCTTGTTGCCGAGTTTCGAGATCTGCAGGAACGCATCCACTCCGTAACCTTCGAGGCTGTGGAGCTCCAAGCTGCCCGCCCAGTACTCGGCATACACTCGGCTCATGGGCAATCCGATCCCCAGACGCAGATTAGGAGGCCGCGAGGTCAGCGAATCCAGCGAGCTCTCGCGGAATGTGTCCCGATCCGCATCCTTTCTTTCCGTCGGCACGCACAGCTCCTGCATGGTGGCAGCCATGGCAGGAACCTGCTCCAAATTCTGGAGATGTGACGTGCTGTAAGGGCCCTTGTTGAAAGACCACAGGTATGGCAGAACCTTACGCGGTATGCCGCCGCCCTGATCCGATACCCGCAGGATCACATGCTGCGGGGCCTCGCAGATGAGAACCTCGATAGGTGGCGGTTTCTCCGAAGAGTCTCGGTATCGTTCGCTCACAGCTTGAATCGAATTTCGGAGTAGCTCACCGATGATATACTCCAGGTGACTCAGCATGTAAGGGAAGGTTGCCTCGAGGTGACCCTGCACCGTGATTTCCGGGATCTTATCCGATGCACCGCTCTGCCGCAACATATCTTGTGCCAGCTTTCCGCACCGTTCAGCAACCTCTTTCGCGTTGCATCTGAGGAAAACCTCACCGACGAAGTCGGCATTTAGGTCTGTGCGGTCTTGGGAGCCGGGAAAGTGCCATGGAGAGTTGAAGGTTTCCGTTAAAGCAAGATGTTGCTCGGCGATAACGCGGCGTGAAATTCTCTGTTAGACCCAATGTATCAGTAGAGAAACATATCGCTCACCCAGACAAGGTCTTACCGCTCGGAGAAGTGTGTTCATGAAGCTGTCCAGCACATCTGACGGGACAAGCTCGCGGCACTCCAGGACACCCGTTGCCAATTCAGGAATCACAACTAGGTGTTCTCGGAGCGTTTTGCGTAGGATGTCACAGAATTTGTCATTGTCATCTAACGTCTTTATTTCCGGGATGGTCCGAAATCGCTCGAATGCTTTGTAGTAGAGCTCGTATACCATGGACAGGTGGGGGTTGGCAACCACCACATACGGGAGTCGTTGGATATCTCGTAGGCGATGCGCGAGTCTAGTGAGATAATGGGGTTAGTGAGATCGTCGGCTAATATGGGACGAGACTACTAACCTGGTTGGAAGCTCAGTTCGTACGTAGTTGGCCGAGCTGATGAGCCGGGATTCAGTCAGGGTTCGTCCAAAGAAAGTTAGCTGTCGCAAACTGATAGGACGGATGTCACGCTCAACCCATCTGCAATCGATTAGCATTGAAGCCAGGCAAATTGGATCAAGAAAAGCCTACTCATCCAAAGCCGATACAGGCCTCCAGGGCGGCGGACTGTGAGCTTGCTGGGTGGAATAAAATCGTAGCTTTGGGGTGCAGCATTGACGAAGAGCCCGCCAGCGACGAGCTGAATGACTCCACGCCATATTGCTGTGGTCTGGAGTGAGTCAATGGCTCAAGCGCGGATGTGGCATGGAGGGGTCCGTATTTTGCCAATGCAGAACGGACGCGCATCAAAAGAGCCACATGAAATCAAGTGCCGATAGAATGGTCCATACATGGCTCTGCAGAGGATCAATTCGGTCCACGACCGCTGATTTCACAGTGGCATGACATGGTTCCTGATGGCAAATGCGGCCGGTTTCCAGGTGCCCGGGCGGTGGGAACTTTCAGGGAAGAACTGGCCAGGCATGTGACGTGCCGATGCTCACATGTACTGCTGAACTGAAAGGAAGAAAGAAGTGATCAGCACCCAAGTATTCCCTTGAGAGTATTCGTATCAATCAATCTATCACTCTGATCCGAGGTCAGACCGGTACTGCGTAGAAGCTAGGATACAGTACAGGGGTGCTGCCTAATTAAACGGTGATCTTCCATTCCACCCGATCGTGGACTAAGAGCGGATGGCGTTGGGAGGAGGTCCAAGCCTAGTAATTATGTAAAAGAGGAAATTGGCAGGAAGAGCAGTAAGAAATAGTAAACGAAAAGTCAAATACTAAATAGCCATATGATATATTCTTTTCCTGTCTATATAGATATAGGGCGCCGGATAAATTCTTTGTCAAACTATCCTTTCGGTCATTCGGAACTGCAGCATCCTAATGTCGCTCGGATTTGGTCTAGTTTGGACGGTGGATCGTCAAAAATGCACGGGTGATATCACGCTTGGGTAGGTGGCTATCAGCCTTCCCTTACTCTGTATCCTGCATAGAAAATAGATAACAAAACGCGAGCCAACGCCAGGCAACTGCCAGGAGGAGGACCTAGTAGCCGCCTAAATTAAAGCTGCAGATGGCAAAACCGGTAACTGCCAGCTACTGCTTCTTTTGTGCAGGTCCTGTGTTCACACGACTCACAACAAGAAGCATTCAATGCCAAAACCATTGGCATTGGAGTCAATCATCGTACGAGCATGAATAGAAGTGGCTAGGGCATTGTCACTGTAGAGAGATCCACCTTCCTCGAGTCAATAAGCCCTATGAATTTACCCCCATCCATTGATCAACCCACCTTCAAAAGGCAGCAAACACAGTAGTAACAGGCAGAAAAAAACAGGTGGTGGTGGTGGTGGTTTGTAGGGGAAGCACCAGAAACCTCTTAATAATAAGGGCTGCTGTGTCCCGCATGGCCGTTATTATTGGGTTATGGCAACTCCGCCACTAGCTTCATCCCAAACTCCTGCGGACTGGAATCACTGCAGCCCAGATCCTCCTCTTCTCTTTCAATTCTCATTCTCGACTTACGAGGTCCTGACCTCTCCACCTCCCCTTTCATTCCCGCCCTATCCTACCACTTCTCCGAAGGATTAACCCGTTCCGTTTTAATACTCCCTCATCCACCTGCAGCGTCCCGTCCGTGAGAAGAGTCTGTCGTTCATCTCCAGTGCGGGTGCGCACTCTTTTCCTTCTACATGGACAACGTAAGTTCTCCCTCATATTGCTGTTCATTAAAATTCATTTCGCATTTACTTCAACATGTTTCCGTTCCGGCAAGCCACCGACCGCTGACATCGTGTTCCGGATCCTATAGGTCCCAGGCAGTGAGATGCTCGTCGACGAATATGAGCAGTATCACAATGACAGAACCGACGAAGTCGTCGTCTCTCGGTCCGGATCGGAGGAACCGGAGCCAGAGCCTCTTGCCGACGATCGTAAGATTCTTCTTCCCCCGTCTTCCTTTGCTCCTTTTGGTGTCTCTTTTGCCGTGGCGATGGTTGTGTGTTGGTGTCACGGAATCCCCGCGGTGGGGGTGAGCCGTTACAGGTCGCGGTGACGAGCGCTTTCTCCGTCAAGCTTGAGGACATGTCTGATTCCCCGATCTTCACTACAGATGCAGCAATGATGGCCCGGATCCTCCCGAAAGACCCCGATTTGGAAACAGAAGATGAGACATATCACACATGGCATATCCAGGATTGGCGGAAACTCAAGAAGAAGGAACACGGCCCGGTCTTCCAGTGCGCCGGCTTTCCTTGGTGGGTGCACCGTCCTATCGCTTCTGTCCGACAAGCTGGTGCTGACATTTTTGGATAGGCGGGTCCTTTTCTTTCCTTACGGTAATCATGTCGAACATGCATCGTTCTACCTGGAACACGCTTGGGAAAACGAACCTCCAGCGAACTGGTATGCCTGCGTCCAGTTTGCTCTGGTCCTGTCGAATGTGAACGACCCGTCCATCTATATCTCTCACGGTGCGTATACCCAGACTGGAAGCCGTGACTAATTTTTTTTTCTTTTTCGCTGATCGGATTGTAGTCGCCACACATCGGTTTAATGCGGACGAGGGTGACTGGGGATTCACTCGATTCTGTGAGCTGCGCAGGCTCTTTAGCGTGCCATGGGAGGGCCGCGGCGTTCCTCTGGTGCAGAACGAAGAGGCCAAGATCACAGCATACGTGCGTGTCGTCAAAGATCCAACAGGTGTACTGTGGCACAGCTTTCAGAAGTATGTATTGGCTCAGACGCCTACTCGGACCTCTTGCTGATTGCTTCCAGCTACGACTCGAAGAAGGAAACTGGCATGGTTGGGTTGAAGAACCAAGGCGCAACTTGCTATCTGAACTCGCTCTTGCAGTCCTTATACTTTACCAACAAATTCCGAAAGGTATGTGGTAGTTTCTACCTGTCTTGACGTGATTATGCTGACACGTTCCAAGGCCGTCTACGAGATCCCCACGGAGGCCGAGGCTTCGAGAGACAACAGTGCTTGGACTCTCCAGAGACTGTTTTATAATCTTCAAACGAGTGAGAACTCTGTATCAACGACAGAACTCACAGCATCTTTCGGCTGGGAATCGCGACAAATCTTTGAGCAACAGGATGTCCAGGAGCTTTCGAGAAAACTCATGGAAAGGATGGAGGAGAAGATGAAGGGTACGCCGGCAGAAAAGGCTCTACCGGAAATGTTCGTCGGAAAAACGAAAACTTACATCTCCTGCATCAATGTCGACTACGAATCGTCGCGAGTGGAGGACTTCTGGGACATCCAACTTAACGTTCGAGGCAACAAGACTCTCGACGACAGTTTCAAGGACTACATTCAGGTGGAGACTCTCGAAGGTGAGAACAAGTACGATGCCGGACAACCATACGGTCTTCAGGACGCCAAGAAAGGTGTAATCTTTGAAAGCTTCCCGCCTGTTCTGCACCTTCATTTAAAGCGATTCGAGTATGACATTCATCGTGACGCCATGATGAAGATCAACGACCGCCATGCCTTCCCCATGGAGTTCGATGCGTCCCCGTACCTTTCCAACGATGCCGATAAGTCCGAACCCTGGATCTACGAGTTGCACGGTGTGCTGGTGCACAGCGGTGACCTGAATGCCGGTCATTACTACGCCTTTTTGAAGCCTACCAAGGATGGGTTCTGGTACCGGTTTGACGACGATCGAGTGACCCGGGCTACGGACAAGGAGGTGCTCGAGGAGAACTACGGTGGTGAATACGAACTAGCCAACGGCGCGGCCGGTGTCAGGCAGCCTTATACCCGCGGGCTGTCAACGAAGCGCTCAATGAACGCCTACATGCTGGTATACGTTCGGAAGTCGAGATTGGATGATGTTCTCTTGCCTATAACAAAGGAGCAAGTTCCCTCCCACATCGGTATGTTGGGTATTCTATTCAGCTGCAAAGAGTTTAACTAACTATGCCGCAGAAAACCGACTCGTGGAAGAACGTATTGAGTTGGCGCGCAGGAAGAAGGAGAGAGAAGAAGCCCACCTGTATATCAATGTTGGCGTATTGAGCGACGAGTCTTTCCAGGCCCATCACGGATTCGACCTCACGAGTGCTGACCTGCCAGCTACTGATCCTGCGGTGCCGAAGCAATACAGAATTCTCCGGGCCAAGAAGGTCGGAGAGTTTGCACAGCAGCTCGCAGAGGAGAAGGGACTTAATCCTGAGCAGGTTCGTTTCTGGGTCATGGTGAATCGGCAGAACAAGACGACTCGGCCGGACCAAGTCATCAAGGATCAGGACATGACTGTTGAGGAAGCTTACAACCGCTATGGCACGAAAGGAAACCCGTTCAAGGTCTGGATGGAGGTGGGCCAGCCTTCCGCAGACGGATCAATCTCTTGGCCGGATAGCAACTCGGTGCTCGTCTTCTTGAAGCATTTCGATGCACCCTCGCAAACAATCGCGGGTGTCGGTGCCGTCTACGTGCGCAAGACACAGAAGGTTGCTGACCTTGCCCCTATCATCCTCGAGAAGATGGGCTGGCCTGCTGGAACCGAGTTCATGCTGTTCGAAGAGATCAAACATAACATGATCGACGTCATGAAGCCCAAGCAGACCTTCCAGCAGTCCGAGATTCAGGATGGAGACATCATCACCTTCCAGAGAACGATTAAGGAGTCCGAGCTACCGGCAACTGCATTGTATACGGACGCAAGGCAATACTACGACTACCTGTTGAACAGGATCAACATCACTTTTGCTCCGATCAAGGCAGATGAGGGCGATGAATTTACACTTACGTTGAGCCGTAAGATGACATACGATCAGTTCTCGAAGAAGGTCGGCGAGCACCTGAATGTGGAATCGACACATCTGCGCTTCGCACCGGTCCTCGCAAGTACTGGCAAGCCGAAGGCGTTCATTAAGCGGAACCCCAATCAACCCAACCAAACCCTGTATCATATTCTCGGTGGGCAAGCAACAACCTATGGATACAGCATGCATCGTCAGGATGCCCTGTACTACGAAGTTCTGGAAACTAGCTTGAGCGACTTTGAGTCTAAGACCTGCTTGAAGGTTACATGGCTCCCTGAAGGCATCACCAAGGAGGTAAGTTTTGATTGATGATCACGTTTGTTGCAAAGGGTCTTGGAGCTGACCAGTGTTTAGCAACTGGTGGAGGTCTTGGTTCCTCGAGACGGTACCATCGCAGATCTCGTTGCCGGCCTTCAGAAGAAGGCAAATTTGGATGACGAGACGATCCGCGAGACACGCGTCTATGAAACCCATGGTGGCAAGATCTACCGGGAATTCCAGGCTGACTCGAAGATCGCTGGCATTAACGAATTCGTGTCGCTCTACGCCGAAAGAGTGCCCGAAGAAGAGGCCAATATGCAGGACGGCGAACGGACGATAAATGCTTTCAACTTCGACCGCGAGGTCAACCGGCCGCATGGTGTGCCTTTCAAGTTTGTTATGAAGCCGGTACGTCGTATTCTCGCCTTGGGGTTTGGTTTTACATTACTAACGTTTATTAGGGCGAGATCTTCAAGCAGACCAAGGAGCGGCTGTCTAAGCGGACCGGCATCAAGGGCAAGCAATTTGAAAAGATTAAGTTTGCTGTGGTGTCTCGCAATATGTATTCCAACCCGCGCTATGTGGAAGACGGTGAGTGGGCCCGGCTCCGTCCCCATGAATAGAACGATTGGTTTGGCTGACGCTGTCTAGATGATATCCTCTCCGACATCATCGGTGATTCCGACGACCTGCTTGGTCTCGAGCATGTAAATAAGAACCGCAATTTTTGGAACCGGAGCGAATCTTTCTTCATCCGATAGATGGGAGTTTTGCTTGGTGGTTATGGCTATGCACGTCATTTTTTTTTTGCTGGGCAGTCTATCTTACGATTGGCAGGGAACGCATACCATTATGGACATATGGAGGACATGTGTTGCCCAGGCGATTCAGCTTATGAAGACAAATTTTCAAAAACAACATACTTTATACATGATGAACAGATGCGAATTATTTCGATGTGTTGTGGTATCGGTCTGTCGGGTAGCTTAGAAGGGCAGGCCTAATGGACCCGTTATGATATGCTTTTTAGCAGCTGGAATTGATGTATGAGCTAGCTTGCAACGATGCAAGCTTTTATGAATGAACCGTATACCTGTAAAAGGGTTAGCTAAGATAGGAGCAGTGGTGTGAGTTATATAGACAGTTTGACAGACACCGCCTTCCGACGTAATATGCATTTACCTGTTTGAATGCCAAAGCAGTGAAGTTGGCAGAAGAGTAGAAATAGTGTATGAATACAAACAGGAGGCGGGTCCATCCATCCCCATTGGGTCCAGCATAAACGGGAAGACAGTTAGTGCAAACACAACAAACGGAGCGGGCCAAAGTCACAGCTGGCCAGAACTTCCACCTCCATCATTTAGTCTGGTTGCGTTGTCTTCGAACTCGTTCACCGTTCCCCCCTGAAGCGTAATCCCAAACTTGAGGTCGCAGCTCCTCTTGTTCCGCTCCCCCCTGCTCGCAATGCGCTTCGCAGCCCTGGTTATCGGCCTTCTGGCCACCTTTGTGTCGTCCGTGGCCGCTACGGCCCTGACCTACCGCCTCGAGGCCAACGAGAAGGCTTGTTTCTATAACTATGTTGACCAGAGGAACGTGAAGCTCGCATTCTACTTTGCTGTGAGTCCTCCTATTTCGCATCTAACTCCCCAATGCGGAAATGTCCATTAATCGGCGTTTCAATTCTGGCTTTGTAGGTCCAATCCGGCGGTTCCTTCGATATCGACTACTCCGTTGTCGGGCCCGGCGAAAAGGTGGTCCTGGATGGCACCAAGGAAAGACAGGGCGATTTTGTGTTCACGGCCCAAAGCATTGGCGAGTACCGGTTCTGCTTCAACAATGATATGTCGACCTTTGCGGAGAAGATTGTCGATTTCGAGATCGCGGTATGTTTTGTTTGTTTTGGTCACCCATTATCACATCGGCAATCCTACAGACCCTTTGGGGTGGTATATTACAAAGTAATGTAGTAGGGATTGAGACTAATTACGTACGTGTGTGCGCGGTGTCTACAGGTTGAGAACGAAGAACGCGCACAGTTGCCCTCCCGCCAGGGTGCTAGCCCCGAACAGGCCTCCGCTCTTGAGGAGTCGATCTTCAAGCTGTCCGCCCAGCTCTCCACCATCACCCGCAACCAGAAGTACTTCCGCACGAGAGAGAACCGGAACTTCAGCACCGTTCGTAGTACGGAGCGTCGTATTTTCAACTTCAGCGTGATTGAGGGCTTGATGATGGTTTCGATGGCTGCGCTGCAGGTCTTCGTTGTGAGGTTCTTCTTCCAGGGTGCCAGAAAAGGTAAGTGTCGATGTCTTTTTACACTTGAGTTCCGAGGGTTTCAGTTGCTATGTGTTATGCCCCGTTTGGTAATGGGGCCGATGGAGCTGATTAATTGATACAGGTTACGTGTGATGATGTGCGAGCATGATGAAAGTATTTCTTCTGTCCTTTGATTGTGGCGTCTGTTTGTATCTACCCGCTGTTGTAGGGATCTAGAGCATTTTTTTCTCCTGGTAATGGAGCTGGTCAATCGGAACAAACATCTTGGTATCAACGTGAATTTCATTTCGGGTTAGGCGTGGTGGATCGATAGCTGAGTTTGAGGCATGACGTTGGATGTTTCACTCTACGGCAACGTGGAGTGTCTCTTTCTCTTTTCCGAATTATAGGATATTCGGGGAATGTCGATAGGGTGTGATGAGAAGGTACGTATTCGAGCTGACTCGGCCAAACGGGCCGCAAACATATGACATCGTCGGAGCGGAGAAGCAGGCCTAGCCTTCACCCCCCTAGCATGATCGGCCACATTGTCTCAGCAATGTCATGTCATCAAGACGGCGCTTGGGAGGACAGCATGTTCAATCGAGCGTTATCTGGCCTGCGAGGTGAGAATACGTGGCGTCACTGGAAGCCAGGACTTGATCAATGCGAGGGAGTCTGGTGGTCGTATCGTCATAATCTGACTCGCAGCAGGACTGGACGCCTCCAGTGGTGCAGACAACATCATGGGTTCCACGATCCCTGGCGGTATGACGTGAAGAAGCGTCCCATAACCGAGGAGGCGCGTATGCCTAGACAACCGTTAAGCAGGGTGTTCAGGTTCAGGTTCTCAATATTCTGTCTGTTCGGGTCTAGTCCATGGGATTCTCCCCCGCTTGCTCAAGAGCGCGAAAAACATGTCAAGGGAGGCCCGAAGACAACGTGATATCATGGGAGCGGTTAGACACAATTGTTCGTCGCTAGTCGCGGCGATTCCATCTCACCGTCTGATACTTCCGGATCCATGGGGCCAGTTACGCCTGTGCTTTTTCTCTATTTGACGGGGGGCTGGGGAGACGTGGCATCCCAATATCATGAGCGTATTCCTTCACTAAAACGCCAGACGAGGGAATAACAACCGCGCCGTGAGAGCCGAGAAGGAATTCATTATTGGTTTCCTGGAACATTGTTCCGCGATGGGTCCACGGCAACAGATGTCACATTGTGTGATAATCGACCGCTCGCTCCTGTGATATAGACCCAGAAAGGGTTCCAAGTTTTGTTTGATTATGATTATCGCTGGTGGTCGGTGGTTGTGCAGTCCGCAGACAGCGTGTTTTACTTTCCGCCTTCAATCTCCGCGTGGGAGAGCAGCAGCAGCAGCAGCAGCCAACTTAGTTGCCGGGGATCGTTGCCTGGATTGGACACACAGGCACAGTAATACTATCTGTTTGTGGCCCGTTTGAGCCGGGCTATCTACTAGCTGCCCGTAGTGCAGTGTCCCGAGGAGATCAAATGCGCTAGTCTAGGAAGTGCCTTTCAGGGCTGCCAACTTCTTACGCGAGCAGTTTGGTTGCGCCATGATCCACCTGGGGGGCCACCAACCGAACCTTCTGCTGATGAAGATTTTACAGGAGTGGGTCGCTGTGGGATATCAACACTCAGCCGATGAATAGCAGAAAGGGGAGGCTGGGAGGTGTGTTTGTGTGCGTCCCTGACTGCGTGTCCTGGCAACGATCTTTAGCGCATAAGGTGCATATGGGCCACCAAAAAGATCGGATCCAATCCGGGAGGCTTCCCGGACTCTGCAGTATACATTGCCTGCCGTTGTAGAATGGCCCGATACCGGATCATTAACTCTATGATGGACTAGGTAGTGCGATATTGTGCTCGGAATGACTGCCTTTCACATGTTGCTTCACCTAGGCGTTGTTGGAATGAGAGAAAGAGATGGTTTGCAGGGAGGAAGATTGGCAATGTTGGAGGATATACCATACCAAGCTCTTGGGACAGAGGAAGAGGACAAGAAGTCTTGCTGAATGGAGAATGGAGCATCTGGAGGACCTCATCATACCTCGTAAATGGATGTTGAAGATGAAGATGGAGCCAAACGAGCAGAAATGACTCGGTGGCGGCCTTATGCATGACGTCATGCGCACCCCAGGCACGGCGCCATTCCCGATGCAGCCATGGCACTAGCTTGTTCCGAACTCCTCCCATCAGCCAATCATCGGTCTGCATTTGCAAGGATGAATTCATCGTCTCCATCGCTTTTCCCAAAGTCTCGCTGCTTTCCCCGATCCAAAAACTGCTTCCCCAGTGAGAACTGGCCCCCCTGTTCGGTACTGCTCTACTACTCCTGCAGGGTTGTTGATTAGTTTCATCTTTATCGGTTGTCGGTTCCCTCCCAGGAAGAAGAATGGGTCCTGGGTCCGCCATAGCGCTGGAAGAACTTCTCCGGTTGAGAATGGAGTAATTACTACTGTGAAGAGGAGACAGACATCCTCTCTTTCGCAGTTTACTGGCACCGGAGATGATCAGTAGCCATCCTCCACACTAACCCTCCTCTTGCATACTCCTAGTCAACTAGCGTCCTTTCACTTTTAGGTTCAACCATGACACATCGCGTCCCCATAGTCTCCCTCCTTCTCTCTATCACACATATTGTGCAACTAGCTCCTGGGACAAGCTCCCTTCCTCCCCACCATGATGGCTCGCTGTCAACCATCATACCTCTTGTTGGATTCTTAGGCGGCCTGCAGACTCTTCCAGGCCTCGGCCTGTATAAGTGCCGATCTGCAGGGACGTGCACTTCAGTAAGCGCAGACTGTCGATCTTTCGACGCCATGAATTCTCCAATGCACCAGTTGCATTCCATCGGTGACCTCATGCTGCTCCTCTGAATGATGGGACCGTGGACCATCCGGGGGTAGCACCGGCCGAGGAGAGCCAGTGGAGTACGGTTATTTCCGATCATCCTTCCCTCCCTGATGGAGGTCTGGTCCGGGCCCCAGTCGCCGCCGCCTCCGCCGCCGCACCGATGAAGTGGAGGGGGGGAAAGAAACAGAAGGTAAGAACGCCGGTGCAGGCCCCATCGGCCCTCTTCTGCATGAAGGATGCCACTGAGAGGAGCCCTGCGACGGCAGATGATGTCATGGCTGTCCTATGGGGGTCTCCGAGACACAACAACACGGTGGACTCCTCTGCTCACGGGCCATGGACAAGTCGAGCCTGCTCCCTAGGGTCGACATGTCGCTCCAGCGGTTCTGTCATGGTCCGTTTTGTGATCTCATGTCGGTCTGGTCAGAACATTTATCTTGCGGGCGGTCCCATCTTATATGTTGGTCCGTTGTAAAGAGTTTCCCGATTATTGTTGCTGCCCAAAGCTGCTGCGTACCAAGTCTGTCCACCTGAAACCGCGTGCTAGTCTTATTTTGGATATCCCACACTGCTTCCGTGGTTATTCCTGAAACTATTATTGTCTTGATCAGTCAATAATTGTTGCTTTTTGCTTTTTCTTACCTTTTCTTTTCCACTTGATCTTGGGGTAAGTGTACGCAGTCTATTGCCTTATATATGAAAGAGGGATCTTCCTTGATGCACTGGTCTCACCCTTCATACGTGATGTCGGCAGATCATCTGACCTTGATGGCGGTCTCGTGTGAACGATGATGTTCTCTGAGCCGGTCTTGCATGATTAGCAGTTTGCGGCGGTTGGACATGGCTGATCTCCTATCTAGACAACAACAAGATGGCCACTGCTATGCATGACGACGAATACCGCTCCATGCCCCCTACCGGGGGCGAAGGCTGTCGCCCTCCTGGCGACCACCTTGAGACAGGCCGAGCTGTCGACCCCCACTCGTCCGTGGAGGACTACAGCCGAGTCATGCTCGAATACACCCAACGCCGGATGGCGGATTTCACCGACCTAGACGACGAAAAGGGATCCAGCCGGAGCAGCCGCAGCAGCCAAACCAGCGGCAATAGCGGCAGCTCGACCAGCGGCATGCTTGCCCGTCAAGCTGCCGGCGCGACTAGTGCGGCTCACGATAGCTCCGAATCTACCAGACGCAAGTCCGGCGTGAACTCGGCCGACCTGTCCTTCTGAAGGCTTACCCGGGTGAGGAAGGGGCAGCTGTAGTGGCTGCTTCCCTCATCTGGCTTGGGGACGAGTTCACGAATTACGTTTTACGGTGGAGTCTGTGGACAATCTGGGGAGGCACGTCGTCCAAGACAAGTTTTATTTGACGTGTCTCCCGGCGTTATGATTGACAAGCGAGAGCGCTCTGATTTCGAAGCGATGGCGAAGCGATTCATAGAGACGGGCGACGTCCGAGCCGAGGCTCCGTGAGACCCTACTGCATGTGTGTTTTGTTTTCTTGTTTCTTTCTTTCTTTTCCACCAATACCTCGAATTGAACGACTTGAGTTGACAACGAACTGGGATCACTACATCACCATTTCTGACATCGTCTCTTGTTTGCTGAGAGGACTTTTTAGGTTTGCCAGCCCCTGGCTTGTTTCTGACCCTTGTCACTCACTTTGTGCTGTTCATGTAGTGCAGAGAGCAGTGCATGAATATATGCGGCCATTGGCATAGTAGTTTCCTGTTTTCCTTCCTTGTTTCCTGTGTATTATTATCATCTTTATTTTGAGGCTGGTCCTGGTGTATCTACTAATGCACGGTTTCTGAATCATGACTCATATCCCTTGCGTGCTTTGCTCCTGCAGTGTGTGTGTTGGGTATAAGCCATGTGCGAGAAGCAGCTGCACGAGTGCTGTAGTAGACTAGTAGTCTACTCGGGTATTTATCAGCCAGTCTGCAGCAACAATTGTAGTGTCTAGACAGGGACAGACAGACAGACAGCTGACGGAACAACGGGAGTATCGCATCCGCATTCCATCAAATCCTGGCTAGAGACCATACCATTCCAGACCAGAGTCAACTTAGATTAAGTATCCCCTGGAATGTTGTTCCAGCCTGCCAGGCAACGGGGGGGAGACACACACCAGGAGAACATGTTCTCCCTCCCCCTTCTCATCCCTATCCTCCTATTTTCAATTCACCCAACCCTATATACTCACCATCATTCCACCTCCTCCACTTTACATCCAACACACGCAACCCATCTCTCTAACACAGAGACAAAACACACAAAAAGTCACAAAGAAGTCCTAACCACACTCACTGAAAAAAAATGCTCCTCAAAATCCTCACATTAACCACCACCCTAACCACCCTCCTAACACAAACAACCTGCATCCCCCTCTCCCCATCCTCATCCTCACCCTCCTCCCCATCCTCCTCATCAACTCCCTCCTCAACTCTCGACACCCCCGACGGCCTCTCCTCCGCCCTTGCCCAAATCATCGTCGACGAAACCATCGCCGACTCCAACAACTCCACCTGTCCCCCGTCCAACCGCTCCAAACAATGCTGCGAATCCATCAACGATATCGCGTCCCAGATCACTCAGCCTTTGGGGATGTTGATTCCATGGATCGGGGGCATTGATATTAGTTCCGTGTTGGGGTTGGATTGTATGTTCCTTTCCTTTCCCTCGCTATTCTCCCTTCGGGGTGTAAGTTGTGTTTGTGGGGGTGGATTGGCTAATGATGATGATGATGATGATGATGGGTACAGGTACAGGAATGAGCGACGATACGCCGAATGATCAGTGCTCGCATCAGGTTATGTGTTGTGATGGGCAGCCGAATGTATGTCCTTCCATTTCTTGTATTTCTTTGTTGGATTGGTTTGGGGGAATGTATGGTATGGTATGGTATGTGATGTGATGTGATGCTAATGGTGTCGGTGACAGTCCGAAGGATCTTCCCAGCCCATTTCGTCGGCTTGCAAACCGTTCGACGATGCGATCAAGGATAAGAATGATGCTATTAATGATAGTAAGCAGAGGGAGAGCATGTTGGTGGCGCAGGCTTCGGCTTCGGCTTCTGCGTCGGCGTCGGCGTCGGCATCTGCCAGTGCTTCTGCCAGTGCGGGTGCTAGCTAGTGCTTCTGCGATGATGGAGCCTTCGAGATGGAAGATTAGTTCTTTCAAGGTGTAGGGTTTGGGGACTGTTCTTATTCTGTGATTGCTTTCTGGTACAGTATATGGGTTAGTTTTAGGATGTGATATGTTATATCTTATGTATGTAGGATTAGTCGACTGTCATTTGTTGTTCATTAATGATATATGGCATAATGTAGTGTTATATCAGTACAATAGTTGAGTTGATATTAGCGCCAGCCCTGTCCACCTCGTCCTCCTCCACCTCCACCATACCATCCTCCCCTCCCTGGATGCGGCGGAGGGAAATGATATGACCCCGGTGGCATCTGCTGCGCATACTGACCCTGTCCGTACGGCGGCGGAAAATGCGACCCTTGATGCGCAGCATGCGGCGGCGGCGGTGGTGGTGGATGTGCTGCCCCAAGGTTCATCGCAGGCGGCGGTGGTGGCGGCCAAGTTCCCTGATAGTTCGGGGGCGGAGGCGGAGGCGGTGCCGGTCCGCCCGGCGGGAAAGCGAAATGCGGTGGTACGCCGGCGGCCGAAGGGTATCCCATTTGCGGTGGCGGCGGTGGTGGTGCATGGTATCCTACCGGAGGCGGAGGAGGTGGCGGTGCTGTATTGCCATATGCATTATGTGGTGGGGGGTATTGGGGTTGATGATGGTATTCAGGCGGAGGAGGGATGGATCGTGGAGCTGGCGGACGCGGAGAATAGGACTTGGATCGCTCCCGCGATTTGGACCGGGATGCACTGCGAGGTCGGTATGGAGACCGTGTTCGGGATCGGGAATCACGCCGGCGTGATCTGCGCTGTGGTGAACGAGTTCGTGACCGTGAACGCGAACTCCAGTCGCTGGCGCTGTCGCTGTATCGTCGGCGCTTGACGGGGCTGCGACTGCGGCTCCGGCTGCGACTCATGTCTCCCTTCGCCTGTCGCTTTTTCATCTGTTGGCAGAATGACCGTGACCATCCGTAGTATGTCTCTCCCTCGATTACCTCCCCATCGGCATCGCGGACGACCACCTGGCCTAGATCATCAATATCCACAACCTCGTCCTCTTCGTGCTCCGGCTCTCCAGTCCCATATATCCGATCCACGTCCTTGAGGAACTTCTTCAGCGCCACGACAAGATTCTCGTCCGCCGGTCCAGCCAAGAACTGCAGCGGCTTAATCGACTCCGGCCGCAGCGGTACCGTCGAATCTGGGATGATATGCGGAACGAGGTTTCCGGCAGGTAGGTCGTAGTACGGCATAGATGGATCACCATGCGTAGCCGGCATGACGAACGGGACATCCTTGCCCGAGGGCATTGGCTTCGCACCAGCTCCCGAGAAATCCACATTACTTTCCTCGACACTTAGCGACGTCTTGACCGGACCGGACACCGAAGCATTCTTGACCACCTCGCGTAGCTTATTCACATAATCACTCCCGTAATAGCGGTTCTCCTCCCAGATATCGAGCAACTCATCCAATCGACGATGATGCCTCGGGTTCTTCTCGCGATCATACGACGCTGCGTAGCCCAACAGCTCGACCACATGCGGCTGCAGCGATCCGCTCAATGTGCTGAACGCGGCGGTCGTATCCAGATGGTATTTCGTATGATGCAGCACATCATTCAGCAGATATAAGATATGAAGGCGTTTTCGCTTGCCAGATGTCGATGTCGACCTTTTCCCACCAGTCTCGGCCGGCGATGGTGTGGATGATGACGATTCGAAAGATCCAGACAACGCGGCTAGGTATTTGGCCCATCCGCCTACGCGGTTACCTGACGAGACGACGTATTCCAGGAGCCATTGTTTGCAGGTCTAGGGGGTGCGCAAAAGAGAACATTATTTTAGTACTTCTGGGGTATTGGCCAGTGGGTCAGGACGCATCGGTTCAAACCTGGATGTTTGCCGGGGTGCAATGCGATAGCGCCCGGTCTAGGCTGGTGTGGAAGGCTGTGATTTCGTCGCGCGCGACGGACGTTGGGTCTGGCCGCAGGAGTCCTGCGGAGAAGGAGGCCTTGGCAATGGCGAGTTGATGGGATGCCATTGCTGGGCAGGTTGTTGTTGAGAATGAGTGAGAGGGTGAAGCAGAGTGAAAGTGAGGCACCGATATGGATCCTGAGGCGGAGAGGGCGGAGCTCCGGCCTTTGCACGTGATCGTAGCCGCCCTACTAACTGGGTTATATGCTGGTTACTCTGTTCTGTACAGCTATCGAACATGTAGCATAGATACCGTTAATTTGCTAAGAGGTTCGGATATTCTAGGAATGCGTAGCTGATTGTACATATGGCCATCGCTCACCTCGCTTGAAACTGGTAGCGAAGCATGCAATTCGCAAGACGCTGGACCCAACTTACACTCAAATCATGTACATCGCCGAGCTACGATAAAAAAATTCAAGTTCATTACATATGTGGAGGCAGATAGTTTATATAAGTTGATTGCTGTGAAGCTATTGTAATTCTTTAACTGAATCGTTACACGAACGTATAAAACCAACGTTATATGCCAATCAAATAATCTATAGTAAAACAGTACAGTTGCCCTGTATGCGCGCACACAGACAAGAAGTGAAATCATAACATGAAGGTAGCTGTCAAAGGTAGCATCAGCTCATTACTTCCAAGGAAGTTGCTTAGATACGGCCATGCTGTCTGAAGCTGCGGCCGTGGTTGTGCACGCTGTGAGCAGACGAGCTGGCAGCCGCGTGGGAACTCGTGGCTCTGGCCGAGGTGGTCTTAGGAGATGATGTGATCTTAGCTTCGCTGGTTGTCGAAGACTTGGAGGAGCTGGAGGTGTGCTTGTGGGTGGATGAGTGACCGGTTGGGGTTGCAGATGCAGAAGCGCTGCTAGGGTGAGACTTGGTCTTGGAAGCCGACTTGGAAGCCGACTTAGAGGATGACTTGGAGGATGACTTGGAGGATGACTTGGAGGACGACTTGGACTTGGACTTGGACTTGGTAGAAGTTTCATCGTCGGACGAGGACTCATCAGTCGACTTGGTCTTCGTGGAGGTGGCCGTCTTGGTCGAAGTGATACTGTCAAAGCCAATGCAGGTCGACGACATGGACTGGGTGAAGGACTGCGAAGGGATTAGTCAAATTCTACAATCGCAGTTGGACTCATGCCTAGACTTGACTTACCGCAAGAGTGGCGTCCGCAATCGGGTTACCCTCGTCGCTCTTCTTAGCAACGTCCGCACCGAGCTCAATTCCAGCATAAGGCTCCACTTCGATCGCATAGTGGTAATTCTTGGACGTGTCCGAGCAAGTTTTACTCGTGGCTACATGTTGTCAGCAGAGGCTACCATACACCAGGTCTTGTCAGTTCACTCACATGCTTCGGCAGTGAAGTCGACTGCCAGGAAGGGTTTGAGATAGATGCCGGCTTCGTATCCCCATTTACCTGGACCGAGTTAGCGATGCCACTTTATTATACTTCAGAGTGTTGTACGTACTACCGATCGAAAAGACCAACTCGAGGGAAGCCCTGACATATGCCTCAAGAGTGGCATCGATCTCAGCATCGAGTTGAACGCCAGACGTCTTGATGGTCGGGGTCCAGTCTTTGTGGGTGACCTTCTTGTTCGCAATGTCGAGTACAGCCTCTGCATCATTGTCAAGCGAGATTTTCATGGGATAGGAGATAGACGCATCGCCATTGACGGGTCCAGCACTGGCTCCGATGTCGAAAGCAAGCTGCACGTCCAAGGTGAAGATATCGGGGATGTTGATTCCCTCAAGGGTCAAGGAAGCGATCTGCGCCTCATCCGAGTAGGACTTTGTCAAGTTTCCGCTCAGATCCAGGGCAGGGGTGATGTCTAGCGCGACATCTTTTGGTGTAAGTGTAAGCTCCGCGGTCTCGATATCGAAATCTCCACTGAATGCGCTTCCGATCTGGCTCAAAAGACCGCTGCCACTTGGCTTCACTTTGTACTTGAACTCAATGTCAAATTCACCACTAGTCCCGCATGATTTGCATTCAGCGCTGAGGGTGAGGTCGTCTTTTGAGAAGATCTTCACTGATTTGTCGGACGCGGTTTTGTCAATACTGATCGAACCAGACTTAGTCCCTGAAGTTATGCCTCGCTTGGAGAGCTCGACTGCCATGTCACTCGGGGCCTTGCCGATGGTAATCTCATGATTCCTGAGAACATCATCCCAGGTCGCCGCTTTGCCGGCCAATCGTACTGTAGAGTTGTTTTGAAAGTTGGCCCCCGTAATGACGAAAGGAACACGCTGGGTATTCCAGCTACATTGCTGGACGCCAGCCACCATAAGAAAGGTGTTGTTGGCGGCCTTGTTCACCCAAGTCCACGAGTTCTTTGCATAGGAGTACGCATCTGAGTCCGAGAAGCCCAAAGTAATACTCGAGTTGGTGCACTGAATATTCTCCAGCAAATCGCCGAAAGTCTCCATGGGGAGAATGCTTTCGTCCATAACAGTCAGGTTACCCAAGGTGGACCCGCCACCGGAAGAGGCTATTCCAGACATGTTAGCCAATTTGTTGCATAGTCACACGCCAAGAACTTGCACTTACCACCCCAGTAGAACGAGTGGCTGGTTCGCAGATCAATGCTAGAATAGTCCTGAGACTGAGCTTCGGTCCCAGCCACTGCCACCTTGACCTGTGTGTTTGTTGTTGTAGAAGGGTTGAATGCGGTCAACTCTAGAGCCAAGCCCTGTTGGATGAGGAAGGAAGCCAAGAGACCGGTGGCCACTCCATTGTGGAGAGGGTTAACCATCTTGAACCTGATATTCGTTCGAATGAAGTAAAATGAAGGTATAGGAATGAAGCAATCTAAAGAACGACTGTCTTTACAAAAAGACAAAAAGAATGACTGTCCCAAGAAGGGAAATGAAGAGAGCGACGATAATGAAATGTAAGAGTTCTTGTGATCTGCTCCAGCTTGGGAGATGTTTATCACCCTTTTAAGTCGGATGGATCATTGGCCCCCAACCAACAGTTCCCGTGTGCCTTCAGCAACACCAGGTCAGAGCCCCGGCCAAGGCTCTGACACTGCCCACTCAGGACATGACAAGCCGTGCGTAATGGGTAGGTTCCTGAAAGTAGCTCCTGAGGCTACATCCTTCAAGGGGGGCGGAGTCGACCCAAGGCCAACCGAGAGGAAAGATTTTCGTGTTCTAGAGTGAGATTGGGGGCGATTCAGAGGATGATCCCCGTATGAAGTCGTAGTGGGACAACGCCCAAGTAGCTTGAACGTGAGACCTCCTAATCAGCCATGACCGTAATAGCCTGCTTCATCCTTAGTACTGTCCAGATAAACTGAGATCTGTGACGTTCCATTCGGTTTCTGTCCATGGCCATCCTTGGATTCGTTAGCTCCCACAGGAGCTCCAGGCAATCTGTACAAGGCATGAAAGAATCATGAACAATTAATCCAATTGTGGACAGGGGCACTGTTTCAGAACATCATCAGCAAATGAAGCCACGAGGGTAAGTAATGGAGAAACCAACACGACCCTGCAGTTTGAATGGGGCATGAGGAGGGCGATGGTAGATTTCGCCCCCACGGCCATTGCCCACTTTCTTCGGGTACCTCGATCCAGCTTCCTTCGGTCGTCGTCCTGAAATAGCCAGGCTCCATGCATGGTTCTCCTGAAAGTGAAAAAAAGCGCAAAAGAAGGAATCAGTTGTTTTGAGAAAGATCTTACATGTGATGCTTTGACAGAGGGGCTATTGTAACCTTGCGGCTGGCGGTTGGAGGCTGAGAAGCACACGGAGTTGCCTAACCAGCACTGTGCCACCTGAATCCACAGCGTCTTGACAGCGTCAGGGTTTCACAGTCAAGAAACAGAAAAGAGGCTTAATTAAACATAAGGGGGGTGACGGTTCAGCAATCATCAGCTCATTGGAACACTTTGTTATTTCTGCGTCTGCTCATGAGCAGGCAAAAGCAGTAAGCGTAGCCACCTGCCGAATCAGGTTTAGCATCAATCACAAGACATTGTTGCAAATTTGCAAATAAAGATGAGCATTGCACTATACCTAGTCCAATGCATGGAACCGAAGCAGAACTCAATTCCCGGGGGCTGGGAAGGCCAAGGGGAACCAGTGTTTGAGCACATGGGGCCAAAAGCTGGGGTACATAAGAGACACTCGAGCGAATTCAGCCGCAACGCCTAGATCGAAGCTCATTCCGAATGGCTCATTCTGGAATAGCTAGCAGTTGGTGAAAAAAGGGTCTCTCCCCACATATGGTGCCTGCGATTATCACACTGTCATCGGATTATTTCTTCGCTGCACATAGTCGGACTACAAGAAGTTGTCAAATGCTCCGCCACGCCAGTCTCGCCCGAGACCCACTGCAAAGATGCGATCCGAGAAAGTGATTCGAATCCTTCTCCGCAAGGTTAGCCTATTCGGAACATCGAGGATCGAAGAAAGAATAGTAAAGGATGTGTGTGATAACCCTTTCACGTCCGTCATCTTTATGCTTTGTGATCCTCCTCCATTCCTTTCAGTTGTCAATAAAACGATGTGATAGACATCTTGGTAATGTATCGCACTGTCTGGATGGAGCGTCGCAAGTCTGCTCCTAAGGGTGCTTCTGGCTATCCAGCAGATGGCTAAAGTGACACTAGTTCCCAGTTACAGTCTGAGCCACAAGGCTCTGACAAGACTTGGTCACTTCTGGTGATAACGCTCTAGGTCATGAAATTGCCCCACGCGATACAGGGACTAGTCTAGACTCTATGAAGTCCCACCAGGGCATGTTCGTCCTGGATTCTAGCGTTCTAAACAAGAGACCCCTGATAGGGGGTGGGGGTTGGGTAATCTATTCCGCCTGAGTGGGAACTGTTTTGCGCCTCACGCAGTAGGATCATTGCCAACAAGAGCACGACCCTGGACTTGTTATACCATGTTGCATTACAACTGGCGAGATGTTGTAAATTATTAGTTGCACAGGCTCGTTCACACCGGCGTGGAGACTCTGATTCCTGCTCCTTCAGCCTCACAGGCCACTTGCCACTTACGATGATTTTGACTCGGAACATATATCCGCGCTGGATAACGAGTATCCATGGACTCTTCTGCATCACGACAGCTTTCTCAGTCTAGTATAGTTTGGGGAGTTTGTTGTATGAACAATCGGCCTGGCAGATTTAGGTATGGAGGTTCACAACATGTAGTCTACGACCTGCAGTCAACCAAATCTCAAGCTCAACCATCGCTAACGTAGAATCCTTCTCATATCGATTGCAGTACAAGAATACCTACGTATTTCCCACAGTGGAACTACAGAGTAGACAACCATAATTGTCTGGGAATCCCGCAGCGGGTCGGTGAATGGTCTATCCAGAAAGGACCGAGTCATTAGACCTAAACCTAGCCACATACATGCTGACACACACAAAGTAGTAAGCACAAGTATGAATAACAGCCTTTAGCACTTAAACACCCAATGTCCGATATAGAAATGAACCAGTGTGCGCCAGAATCCTCCAGCCGATGTCAATCCAATCGTTGAACTAGTCGTCTAAGGAACGGGCTTAGTGGCCTAATAAAGACGATTTAAGCGTCGTCAATTGATCGGACACTCAAGTGACCATCACTTCAACTAATAACGCAGACATACTATCCAGGAGCTCTGTTACACTTTCACCCAGGCCTTGCCTTTGGTCAAGCGAAAGCGAGTCGCAGAATAGAACAGCGTTCCTCCCGCCAGCATCATGCCAGTAAAGACCTGCAACTTCCAATACTCTCCGTGCGCCTTGGCAATTAACGAACCGCCGATGGGGCTGCCGACCAATGCCGAAATTGACATGAAAGCATACAGCGCTCCCGACCGGGTGCCAATCTCACGAATGTCCGAGATTTGGGCGACCAAAGCTGGGCTCAGAGCCGTGTAGGTCCCAGAACTAAACCCAAAAGTTGCGGCGAACACAATCGCAGTTGCCTGAGAGTGGCCAGGGAGCCATAAGCCTAGGACAAACACCGTAGACAGGGCCGCTGCACATATTGAAATATTGAAGTTTCCGATCTTGTCTGCCGCATACCCCGGCAGTACTCGGCCGATGCCACTACGTTGCGTTCATGAGCATGTGTTCAAGGATAATCTCGGGCTCTGTTGCGTTGTCACCTACCTTGCAGCATTGAAGATGGAGACGAGGTACCCAGCGAGACTAGTCCGCATACCCACATGTTGGCCGTAGGTGACGATATATGTAATGGGGATAAACATCCCCATCGAATAGAAAAAGCTCGCCAATGTCACCAGAACGAAGGGTATATCGGTAAAGTTCTTCAAATAACTCGTCAAAGTCAAAGTAGTGGGATGCGGTCTTAGCCGGGAGCGAACGGTTAAGTTGGTCACAACCAGCAAGGCGAGCATGAATAAGGCGCAAATCCTCATGGCCCAGCCAAAGCCATTCCTATCGATGATATGATCGACAAGAATTGGCATGACAACACCCCCCAGGCTGGAGCCACTTGCGGTGATGCCCATTGCCAAAGCGCGCTTTTCTCGGAACCAGGTTGCGACGCAATTGAACGAGGAGTACAGCACCATACTCGCACCCAAAGGGCTGCATATTGACTGAGACAGGATGAATTGATAATACCGAGAAGCAAATGAAGCCATCAGAAGTCCAAATACGTGTAGCAGAGACCCGATGAGCAGAAGCCATCGAGGCCCGTATGCATCGAACAGCCGACCAACAAAAGGACCCTGCAGGTTGTCATTTAATTGAGTCAATGTCTACCCGATATAAGACTTGAGCAGTTGGTCGAGATGTTGAAATGGAGCTTACCGTAATAAACATCATGAACATAGATATCCCGGGAATCCAGGACACGGTGCTGGCGGACATGGTTCGGAGCTGATGGGTTTGATAGTATGCTTGAAATATGCCAACGCCTGATGATTTGGAATTAGCGTCAGCTTGTCAAGAATGGTGTGTTGCTCACAATTGGTCCACCCAAAGCTTGTAAAGAGTCCAAAGAAAGCACCGACAACTACGAGCCATGCACGAAGTCCACCGTCTGGAAATTTGGCAGGTTCATTTCGCTCAATGTCTGGAGGCTCCCGCTCGTCCGTAACATTCTCCCTGCTCATTTTTCGCGAGTATCGGGAATTGGAAGAATACGACTCCTGGAGCTGAAGATGTGGAAGCTTGCTTCGGCACTTGATCATGTACTCTGCATGTCCTATTTATATCACAATCAAGCCATCAAGCGTCATGAATCTCCTACAAAGCTCTTCGGATATGCTGCCAAACTGGATCGAGCATAGTCTGTGGGCAAACGCCCATGCGAACCCACAATCCATCCTTTTTCGATCCAAACCAAGAGAGACGCACATATCTGATTGGATCGGGCGTCCGCGGGGGTCCGCGGGGGTCCGGATCGACAACAGATCCATACTCAGAAATGTGAGTCACTCTTGACAATCACCATCAAAAAAAGCAAAATCGTTTACAAAACAACACCTTTTGCACCAGGTATTCTCTTCAAATGAGCTCACTAAAGAGGCCATTCCATGATCAGGCTCCAGGGCCAAAGCGAAGTGCATGGCAACTACCAGCGTCATGTGATTTCTGCCGGCTTAAGAAGATCCGGTGTGACAAAAAACGTCCTTGTTCCAGTTGCAAAGACAGAGATACCGTGTGTGAATATTCCGAAGGTAGATAGGGTGGAAAGTAGCTGAATATAGGGATGAGGCTGATCAATGTGGTGCCAGCAGGAACCAGACACCAGACATTCCCAAGAGCCCACTATGATCGTCTAAGCTGTACATCGCTGGAGGAGTATGTCCCCGACAACTACCCTTTCCGATCCTCTAGGTTAACCCTCAGCTAGAGATATTCAAGAGATAAAGGATCGTTTGAACAGGATAGAGCAACTGTTGCTCGAAAGTTCAGGTCCACCAAAAAACTTAAATCCGAGGGACATAGATTCTTTGGCAGTTACCCTCCCGCCACAATTCAACACGACATACTTGGAAACCGATCACCAGAAATGGGACGACCTGGAGTCAATTGCAGCGTCCTCCCAGCCTGAAGAGATGTGGGATTCTCAGTCCGGAAACGAAAGTTTACTGAGCACAGCAGGCACCACTATAGCTGGTCCTGCAGAACTTTCGCGGGCGTCTTGGCTGAGTCCAGGTTTGGGAGCAGATACACAGCTCCCCCAGCTCAGTACAGCTAAATGCCTACTTGAACACTACATTCAAGAAATAGACTGTCTGAGTCATGTAGTTCATGCTCCGTCAACACGGGATCTCCTCGAAAAGGTTTATTCCCAACGGTCACAATCGATCAGTCTTTCAAATGAAAGTGTTACATTTTTTCTATCAATATTTGCTTCCGCCTCATTTTACTTGGGGTCCGGGCATAATCTTTTAGCCCACGGATTAGGCCTGGACACAGAGACATCCACCTGTTGGAAGGAGACCGCTCTTCAAAACATCCTGCAAACCGATGAGATTTTCTCGTCTTCCTTGATATCCCTGCAATCGGTTCTCATTATTATGTCTCTTCTTTGGGATTCAGAAGGCCAATCAAAAAGATATCATACTTTGAAAGGTCTCGCATATGCGAAGGCGACCCAGATGGGGATACACAATATTGATGCAGAACGGCCAAACGTGGAACCAAACCCGCTGGAAAGAGAGATGAAGCGCCGTTTATGGTGGCATCTTACTTGTGCCGATTGGTCTGTCTACGTTTGTTACCAAAAGACTCATTCTATCTAATATTGACAATCATCTCCAGGTTACTTGGAAGTGCTCCAGGTCCACAGCATGGCAGCTACATTATCAGTCCTTATCATATGACGGTCAACCACCCGGCTAATATAGAAGACGAAGGTGTGGCACTAGAGGGGAATCAAGCAGCCCCGAGGCCCGATCACCACTTGACTTCGATGTCATTCTTTCGTTATCGCATCAAATTCGCCCATCTCTGTCGCGAAGCCATGGACACGATCCAGCAGGCGAAGACTACGCGCCCTCTACAACCCATATATCCCCTCATACTAGATATCAGCAACAGATACATGTCTTTCCTGGATGAGCTCCCGTGGTTTTTCCGACTAGAAGGGAACGAGGCGAAACTTGCAGAATTAGTCCAGGAGCGGCCGTACGTCACGCAGCAGCGCGCTGTACTTCTGTATGGCATTTATTCCCGCCTTGGCCGCCTACATCGGCCGTTTGTCTCTCAGGGAATCTCCGATCCGATGTTTTCAGCTTCGTATAAAACCGGTATAGAGTGTGCGGAAAAACTCTTGAGGATACGTCAGATGATGCCCCATGGCCGACTTGGTATATTTGGTCGCTCGCAAAGTGTGGATCAACACACATTCAACGCCATGCTCGTCCTGACAATAGACGTCGTGGCGCATCCAGGGCTTCCTGATTCAGAGCGCCGGAGATGCGAGGTCACTGAGATTTGTCACCTTCTGAAAGATAAACACACACGGCCGGGTCAGCCTAGCAGTGGAATCAGTCGAGCGACCCAGCTACTGTTGAAGATTGTCCAGGCTCCCCACAGACAACACGCCAAAGAAGGGATTAAAGACACCGCTCAGATCTTTTCAGAAACTGCGCAAACTAAAGATGATCAGGTGCCCCTGAATTCATACGCATCGCTGGCTCCAGATGAATTAACGAGAGAAGACGCGTCCTCTCAGATGGCCTGGATCGATGAATGCTTTAGCTATCATGGTCAGAGTATCAATGCCCTTTTTGGTGAGCTGCGGGAGTCTCTCTCTGGCCAAAGTAATGGATCTTGGCAGGGATACTTTAACTGGGAGGATCTATCTTGATTACCCTTATGGCTTCTAATCTGGTACTAGAATCCAATCCCTACTCTCTAGAATATAATCGAACGTCCCTATAACACAGGAGTCACAAAGTGACCGTCACTTCCTATATAACGTCCAGCCGCGCAGAGACCTAGGGTCGCGTACTTTACCTGCTGCTAGCCTGATTTAGCACCTGGTGGTATTAAACAACATCTACACGCTCTAGTATTGCTTCTATTACCTCTTAAATAGTCTAAATCTTGTCTATCCGCTTTCATAAACTGTCGCTTCCCCTACATTGCCTATTATTTCTAAGAGAAGTAACAGGCGCTCACTATCTTCTATTACTTCTTAGTCTTAGTATATATTAAATAGAACGCTTACCCTACTAATATTTATTATAACTATTCTACGAGCTGGTTATTCTGCCTTTCTACAACGATTAACTGGTTATTATACTGCTTTAACCCGTAAAATCGTGTAATAAATGCAGCTAGACAAGCATCTAAGCGTTGGCGCTATAAAGGTCTCCTTCAGTTGGCAAATGAGACTACAAGCAAGCTTCCGACATTGCGTCCACAGCAAAAGGCACTAGCAGAGAAGCGGGGAGACATAGATGTACACAAACCGGCCTTGATCAGGACCCATGTTAGGAGCGCATAGATACGTAGTTCGCAGAGGGAATATGACACAAAGCATCCCAGGTCAAGCCATGTCCCAATGTTTCGTTTCCTCAGACGGCTACAGTCCCAGGACTTACCCTCCCGGGACGCTGGAGGTCTCAGATTTGAAGATGTCACAGGTAACCGTCTTTCCCAGAACCACTCTTCCCGAGATTTTGTATTTCCTGGGACTCCTTGACCTGGGAATGCTACATCCCAGAATTTGGTCTCCCAAGTTTTGCCAGTCCTGTGAGCGCTGTCTCTTGGAATAGGGATTCCTGGGATTCATCAGTCTTGGGAATCAGGGACGGTATAATTGGTGGATTGACTCGTAGTCTATCCCAGCCACCCGAGGAGCCCTAAGATCATCTTGGTTGCTTGCGATAGCATTCATGAGCTACAGTGAATTTGCTCCATTTTATTGCATGAGTGCTTGCCCGTGAAACCTGTTCTCGTCCTTCCGATCCTTCCGGGCAGAAAGCGGTGCACTCTACGTCGCAAATGACAGCATTGCCATTGGTCGGTAGTTGCATTTTAATGGCGTGAATGTGGATACAGAGCCTATCTGAGTGGCCGCAAAACTGATTGCTCCACGTGTATGCCAGCCTGCAGACGGTGAGCATTTTTCCCTCTCCGTCAGTTTTGGCCATTCCAGGAGAGTTCCGGTTCTTCCCATTAACCATATAAGATGCAGTAGTGCCGTGCACGATCGACAATCGTGTCTAACTCAAGCCCATTCGAAGCATTGGGTTCTTCAAGGAAGAAAATTCTTTGGCCTTTCACCACTGATGTTGCAAATTCGTCTGCATTGACGATTCCGAGTCTCTGCCTTTCTGCAGTCAATGTATAGAGAACACCTCGGTGTCTTAGCTCTACTCCTTTGTCATGCGCCTTAAAAGGTTCTATGACATGACGCTCCAGCGGCCAGTCTTCCTCTGTTATCTTAAAAACTTTGATGTGTTTTTCGCGTCGTCGAGTGGATTTCCCTCTTGCTTCCGCGTCTGCTGTCCGTTTGCCCTTAGATTGAAGTTCCAGGACTGCCACAGCGCTCTTATAAGCTGACGACCGCCCGTTCCGTGCTAGGACCTGGTACCAAGGACCTATCATCCTCATGTGCGGCTTCAATATCAGCGGATTGGCTGATAATCCAGCTCGTCATTTCGGACCCATTTCAAGTAGCTCCGAACAGACTGCTTCAAACGATCTCGAACTTCATCAGAAGCCGACGCTGTGAGACACATTAGAAAAGTCCAAAAACATGCCAGGCGAGTAAACCAGATCTGCGTGCCGCCGTTTCCATAGATCCATCTGGGTACCAGACGAAAAAGGCGTTCAGTGCCAAGTAAATCGTCCACAGGAGAACATCCGACCATGCATATGGGCCGATCCAACGATGGCGATTGATCATATTGGTATTAATCACCCATCAGCTTATCACCCAGCATATTGTCCTCCAAGGTGATAACCAATAAGGCAAAAAGCGACACACTACGCTCACCACTACCAGTGCACAGAGGACAAACGTGTATAAGAAAGAAAGCTCCATGTGATGACAGGAGGCTGCGAGGTATAGAGCGGTCGGCAAATGATATCAGGCTTTCACGTACAAGTACAAGGTGTTCCGTCCGATTAAATAGTTTGAAAGCCGTTTATGCAACAATCAGTTAGCTATTCAGATCAGGTTTTGTCATCATCAAGTAGATGCAGAGTATCCGGGAAAACGCAAGCACCCACGACGTTCGAACCCCATCGTTCAAATCCGCCTTCCTCCAGTTTCGTCGCCCCAGTCAAAAATCTTTTACCACCCCAGGAAAATGCAAGGCTACAACTAGTAGGTGCAGAAGGTTATGATCATGTCACAGTTAGGGTACAGAGGTCAAGTTACGCCACTCTAGCCCAGAACAGCTGGTATTCTTCCAGGTATTCCTGAAAGCTATGGTCTGTTATTCCTCTGCTAATAAAATTTGATCTCCTAGGTATAGTTCAGGGGGTGGTCTGCCACTAGGATTGCCTGGTTAAATAATCTCAATCACAGAACGAAACTTCCTCGCGCTGGAATTTTCATTGGTATCCATGATAAACTTTAGCAGACGCAGGGCATTCTGATTCAGAATCAATGGAACATCTGGCTGATCGATGTCCCCTTCTCCCATCTCTTTTTCCTCATTCATGCCCTGGTACAAGTCTGTCGATACCGCCGCGATGACAATCTCAATTGCCCCAACTCGACGGTAGACATCATGATCCGTGTCTCCTACACGTGCTAGTAGCATCGCTTGCATGGAATAGGTGGAGGCGTATAAAGGCACCAGGTATAAATGTCCCGTGTCTGCCATCTCTCTAAGCCAATCGTCCTGTTCTAGGTCAATATGTGTACCCTCTGGTCCTTCGTTTTCACTAAAGCGAAGCTCATGACCAACTATGCCAAGACTTTCGATCGTTCCTTCTGACCAACTAATGTGCACTGGTAAGAGGAAGCCTTCTATCTTGATAAAGCTGTGGTGCGATGTATCGAAATCCACATTGCAAGAACGCTCGACAAGCAGCGGGTCCTCAGCCAACTGGACAACCTTCATGAATTGATGCACAGACCCCTGTACTATTGACGGAAAGCATATCTCACCATCGAAAGATGCCCAGGACCAGCTTGGTACACGGCAGTCAATATAGTCACGGTTGGAATATACGCGTCCGCGCTGGTGGATGCGGAACCAAGCCAAACTATGCGCCAAACAACTCTGCCACATACCCGCTAGATACCGATCAGCTGGCCGATTCCTCGCGACATATTTTGCCACTCCCGCCAACGCGACCAGCTTATCTTTCACAAAGGTGAATCTGCATCGTGAATAGTCTTCCATTGTACTATTCCACCACTCGGCAAATTGGAGATCAGCGGTTGAAAAACGCGGCGCGTTCTGAGTAGCCTGCGGACTCGCCAAGGCGACTTGGGATAGTTCTCGTAATGCCTCATAGATCGCCGGCTTACTCCTGGAACCGACGGTCAAGGTAGGGGGTAATCCTCTGGGGAAGGATTCCAGGGCTTGCATTTGTTGACACTCCCATCCTATCTGTCGCGGTCCGAAATGGATGACCCTGCGTGCTAGGAACCGTTCTTGGAATACCCAGCCTCTCTTGTTAAGCGGCGCATTGCTTATTTGGTCGTGCCAAAAATCGCTATTAATGATGTACTGCGTCTCGATCTTTCCGTGAGCATTTACTTCAATTCCAGGCGGAGCGGAAAAGGCATGCGACTGGCGAGGAACAAGGAGTCCCTCGGTGCCATTCTCAGCCAAAGTCGCGGAAATATTCACGAATGCGTGCGAGTACACTTTCTCCATGAGTATGGACTCTCGGTTCCAGTCCGACTGATCCCCAGGATCTTGAATGATGCATAGAGAATCAATCCATAGATACTCCACACCCAGGCGACGGGTTAACAGGATCGCGTCCTGGAACGTCCGAGGCAAGCGCCGGACGTTAATTCCTTGCTGCATTTGCTGGATGGTCGAGGACAGTAGCATAGTAAATCGATGTGCATTTTGTTGCCATCGATGACTGAGTGTCACATACGGACCCTTGGGGCATGTGCTTTTGGTTATGACCAGCTTAACCTGGCCATCGGAGGCCAGGTGCAGTAATCGGGTCGGATACCACAATTCTGCCGATAGGTTGATACACCTGTGATGATTTTGAGTACAATTATCGACCCAGGTTTGGATGAGGTTGAGGTCCGCGGTTGTGGATTGCTGGTTCGTTTCAATGTTCATGGCACGACGGAGTTCTGCCCTCGACAGATTAGTTCCGGCTTTACCCCGAGCAAGTCCTCTAAAACTACATCTCACCTTCTTCTGACATAAAGTCCAAATTAATCACGCATTCATCGCTATCGATGACCTCGCCTCGGAACAGAGGCATGGCCACTATTTCACAGGGGAGCAAATGCCCGGGGCCATCTCGTATGGCGACAACAGATTGGTTGAAGACGAATGTCATAGGCAGCCCTCGCCATTTCTTGAATAGCATAGGATGAGTGTCTTCGACCCAGGCAACCAGTTTCTTGCATAACCAGCAAGATGCTTTGAGTAATTGGGGATACTGGAGCAGCTCGTGCTGAGTAGATCCACCCGCCCCACGGTGGAGAGTCTCCTGGATCGTTCTAATACAGCTCTCGCAAAGCTTCATAGCGTGGAGGAAGCATATATCAGTGGGTTCGTACGAAGGGAAATCCGGAGGTAGGACCTTTTCGGGAAAATCAGTCATCGAGGTTCAGGGGTTATTGCTGCGCTATACAAAGGATCTGTGTAATTGCGCTAATTTCGGGGGGTGAGATCGCGTTTTTCGCGTCGCGCGTATTCAGCTCACCACATTCAAAGCTTCAACATCGACCGGTTTAGTGCTCTAATTCCTGTATGCCCTAGCCGACCCAAATAAATTTGATATATGGAGGATAGTCCGCCAAGATAGTAAGCATCAGACGGAGCTCCGGTTTTTAGCTCATGTTTGACGGTTTGAGATAGTGCAACGGAGTGTAACTTGATTGAGTTGACGTAGAATTTGGTGCTAGAGTCAATGATTTTCAGTTTCACATATCCACCGCAAAATGTTCTCAACTCTTAGCTCGCGATGTTTAGGTTCTTCGACTAGGCTGTCAAGCTCACTCCCGAAGAATTGATCGACAATCCATGGGTGTCGCTGGAGTCGACGAACCATCTCGGTATCCCCCGTTCCATCATCAAGCCAGATGCCGTCGTCATAGCTTCTATGCCAATTGAATAAACGAGATGTTGCAACCCCTGACTGTTCATCAGCAGCATTTTGTTCAGCATAGGGTACGCTTGATAGTCAGCATAAAAAGTCATAACAATGTTTCCTGGATATTATCGGACTCACTCATTAGGATGCTCTGAGGAGAAAGGATGATACGTCTCCTGAACCTGAAACTGAGGATACTGGTACGGTTCGGTCGCGGGGACTCTCTTGCCGGAATCCAAAACCCAGCATGTGGTCCATGAGATAGGTCTGTGCATATGTCCGAGGTGTTGTCGGATTTCAAGACTGACGTTTTCAACAGGCGTTGTGCCGAAAGGAGGCGCGGGCGACCAGGGCACCGATGCTTCTGGCCGGCAATAAAATGAAGTTTGGAACTCGTTTGCTCGGGTGGTAACTTCATTCTCTACTTCGCTTGAGCAATACCCCATCTGAAGAAAGGATTGAGTGGTATCTGTCCAAAAGGCGGCGACAAGGCATATAGGCGGTAGAGTATACAGACTCATATTCAGAAACGCCATTTCTTGACCTCCATGTATGGCAGCAGTCCAGAAATGGCATAGAGGCGGTTTCGTATATGTGACTGCTCTAAGAAGCTGTTGGTTATCGATCTCGTCCGCCGTTGAGAGGGCTTTCCTCACACCCAAAGATGCAGCTCCTATGAAATTACAGGGAATAGACGGATCAAAAAAAGAACTGCATATTAATGAGTCCAAAGCGTCTTGCGTGGAGCTTAAAGTGAGAAACTTATCGATAGATCGGTAAAGAACACGTAAGACCACGTCCTTTGCCCTTGGTGGAGAGACAGCAGAAGCAATCGGAACCGGAACAGGAGGAGCGAAGCTAGGCGAGGGTGCATTCCGCGATGTCAATAATAAAATAGAAGCAATCCCGGTGACCAATTCTACCTCCAGCCCTTCTGATAGGCAGAAGTTCACGAGGATATCGAAAGCTAGATACGAGTTTGGTGTGACCGGCACCCAATTGCTTCTGACTTGTTAGTCCACAGCAATGATGATAAACTGGCATAACAGATTTACCGGTCTTTTTTAGTCCCCTCACTGGCCAACATCCATGGAGAAAAGAACTTTGCTGTTTCTTTTTCCACTAGTGCTATCCAGCAGCCTTGCGTGACAAGATGCCAGAAAGAGTCTTCAAGCTGCACACCATTTTCATGAAGTATCTGGCTGTTCCAACCTGCTTGCTGGAATATTTCAGCCCAGCGGCAGGAGACAATGTACGACCAAGCTAAAGCAATATTTGTAAAATACCCGGAGCGGAAGGGCTTGGTATGAAAAGGAAGGAGAGTATGTAATTGCGTCTCAGCCTTCAGCTTATAGACGGCAGGCCTTGGAGATCCGAGGCATTGAAGATAATCAATCAGCTTGTAAGGTCGGTCGCAGTCTGGATCGTCTGTTGATCGTATCTGTAGAGATGATCTAAGCATAAGAAACGTTCTCCGGCTCCCTGTAATATTAACGTCTTCCGGGAGGCCGTGTAAAAACGGAGGGACATGTTTGAGGAGGCTTAAGAAGGTCTCTAAGAAAAAGGAGAAAGAGAGAGTGTCGTTTGGGGATATTGAGGTCGCATGCCTCCATTCATCGAACTTGGACTGACAGCAATGATGGAATTCTGCTGTTGATGGACAAATTCCGTCACCAGGATCCCAAGTTACACCAACGTCGCTGTCGCTTTCATCGCTATGATCGGATGAATACTTATCATGAGAGCTCATGTAATTCTCTTTGCGACTGATACCAGTGACAGGTCGTTCGTCTCCCATACTGACTGCGTATATCGACCTACTTCAGTGCCATGATATAGCTGCATCTAGGAGACCATGACTAGCTAGCAATATACTGCGACGCAGGCGGTGAGGGTGACAGTGAATGGTGTGTTGAAGAAACCATGTCGGCAATCAACTCATCCTTCTCGTTGCATACTCTGTTTCTAGATCGATATTATCCACCAGGCTTCATGTAAAATCAATGGTGTTTCTTAATTGTGCGAATTTGGCCCAATGAACCACTGCATGATTTATGATCAAGTTATGAGTCACATGGCAGTACTGTTATTCTGTAAAAGCATTGGGCATCACGGCTTGAGTGACACATAGTGCCCTAATTGGTGTTACTGAAAGTACTCCATACGATAAGAGACATCGAAATCCACTCTACGTGCAGATGGAGAAGCATCAAGGCCCGAGCACCTTAGTTCGGTACCCACGGATGTCTTCCATCCCCCATCAATCATCCCCCTGCAGCGGAATTGGAACATGCACACAGTATACTATTTCAGTAGCTGCAGCGTTATCTAGTGAGGGTACCGAAGAATAATAGAGCACCATTCTAGAGACTGCTTAAGAGTGAAATCCATGTGGAGCCATGTGTTAGATACCATCAATAGTATCTCCGTGAAGCTTATTTATATTAACTTGAGAATAGTAAGTGAACCTGTCAATACTACATGATGATTCGAGTGACAACGGATACCACTCTGCCATTGTCCAAGAAATTATGCAGACATGCCTTACCGCGAGTTTGTGAGAAATCACGACACCACATAATATTCTGAAGTACAATATTCCGAGTTCTACTCATGGCTATTCCATACTGTGGATGCATCCAGCAGTGGAAAGGGAGGCAGCGAAGCTTGACTAATAGCTGAGTCAGGATTTGCGGGGGGTACAGCGGTGACGTCAGTTGTGATTGGAGGCCTCAGGCGTCGTGGGGGGTGGCATGATCGATGCAGCAGAATGCAAATCGGCTTCGTGTTTCCCTCCCCTTTAATCTCCCCTCCTAAACAATAGGATGGTCTAGGTAGATACCTAGCTTCCCCTGATCAGCTTGGGCTCGTGCTCCGTGTGTACGTACACAAATAGTTACGTCTAGGTCCTGTCATGGATCAACCGCAGTCACTCAACCAGTCTGTCTTCATTCACCCTGCAGCCAATGTACATCTACAACCACACACCGCCAGGCCGGATACTCAAGTCCCGCCATCAGACAAGCGAGTGACCAGACCTTAAATCCAGCGGGCCGGGAACCACAAGTTGGAGGGAGTTGCAGCCTGGCACGCCATGCCCAACCGCGCCTGAGCAACAACAACTACGAACGTACTAACCAACTACCGCGATCGCCGCCCGCGTGCCTGGCCGGTCCGTCATTGAGCCCCGCTGCTTCTTTCGGCCGGAAATCGCGATCAGCTGCCCCTCGATGGCGTGAGTTCTCACCTTCAATCCTGTGAGTCAGTTCAACAGTGTTGAAACTGGGTCATCAAGGCCCATTCGGTCAATGCGACTGTCCATCAGTGGGTGCGTACATAACTCTTGTGGTCCATGCAGCATCCATTGTGGGTGGAATGCAGGAGACAGGTATGGAGTGATGTGTATGAACATAGACCAGAGACTAGAATCGACAACTGCCTGGCATGCTATCCGATCTCCAGCTGATTGCTACATGTTTCGGGACCGTTTTTCCGCGCGCTTTTCGTTTATCCCTCAAGGTTCTCAAGGTCCCAAACCCAGTGTCATCATCAATCAGCATTAGTTGAGGGACTAGCCTGGCATCATCATGGGCCTGTGGGCCTTTTGAACCCCCGCAAGACAACCACACCCCCCCCACAGGGTAACACGGTCCGTTCGGCTGAGATGTAGGCTGATCTTCCATTTGCCTCTAACAAGCCTCCATAGAGTCGTATACCATAATTATTATAAGTAGGTCCGTATTGCCGCACGGCAGTCGTGCAACCTGTTTATCATTAGTATTAACCTTTGCCTCTCTGTCCCTGCATTGACCTGAAGTTCTGCAACTAAGAACGCTTACCTGTTGAACTTACTTCCCCCTTGAAAAAGGCGCCGCTTCCTCCTGTCTACTTATTACTTTCCTGGACAACCCACTCTCTTGATCGAATACTGGTTCTGGTAATATTCAGTTCGAGACACATCTTTTCAATCTACTGCACCCCTCTCTCCCCCTTTCAATCGCAACACCGTTCACTATGTCTATCGCTGTGCAACTCGCCCGCCCAACCATCCGCCACTTTTCCGTCCGCCGTCCTCGGCCAGACACTCGCACTTCTCGCTTCATCACCAGCTCGTGTCTATTCACGGCCGTGGTGCTTCCCTTTGTACCTCCAGCACTGGAGAGTTCTCGCGAAAAGAACAATGGATACCCCAATCACAACAAGTAAGCCCTTCTCTCCCTGGAAAAACTCCACAACCAAACACCTGATATTAATAATCCATGATAGGCCGCACCCACCGCTATGCTTCCATGCGCGCTAAGCAGTGGTCACCTAAATCCGACCGGATATAACTGCCACACACACTAGCGGGGCTCATTTCCGAACGACCACCACCCACACCTGGCGTCAGGAATCTTCTCGATTCCGCGCGATTTTTCACTTTTCGCACGGATTTATTTCTTTTGGGACCAACATTTGCTCATCAGTCAAGGCGTAAGGGAGCTGGGCGATTGCTTACATACATACATACCGTATGAAGGACTCACGCGACATGATTCGGGACTTTTTCCGCAGAGATGCATATCATACCTCTGTTTAGGGCGGGCGGGAGTTTCGATGGCGTTCCTTGCTTTGCTTTTTCTTCTGCTATTCTTGGGGTTATCACATGCATAGTTGCATCCTTACCCGTTGAAGAAAGTCTCATGATTGGGGAAGGCATTTGGACTGGTGCCAGCCCGCTTACACCCATCAATGTGGACATCTCTCTCTTGGTCGGATTGGTGGATGCTCCACGGCCTTTTGTTCCGGGTTGATCGTGGCTATTTTACCTATAGAGCAATGCCTTTATGGCTATTTAATTTCAATCGAAGCATTACTCGAAATTGAGCACTTACTTCTTCAAAGCACTGCTGCATAGACAAGCGTTCACTTCACCGAACCCGGACTACTTACTGTAGTTATGCCCCTACTGTGGCAGGGATAACCCCGCAGATCAGAGTATTCAAGCAGGTCATACTATACTAATCTGTAGGAGCCCCTGCAGCTCGGAACACCACACTATGATACATGAAAATGCCACAACATAGCCTTTTCTTTCCCCCTGTTGTTTTACCATCACCGCCTCCACCTCACATACTTATGTGCAAACTACCTCCCAGCCTACAAGCGGTTTCCCCTCGGAGGCCGGAAAGGCTGCGTAGCCTCATATTTACTCTTCTCCAGCACCCGCTCAGCTTCTGTCTCCGGTTCGTGACGAGTCGGTGCGGGGTCATGGCTAGCTTCAGCACTCGGCGAGGCCACATCATCGGCACGCACTAACTGGGCGCGCTTCAGGCTCGGATCTTCGGTCGGACTAGGAGTCGGAGCATTGTTCGGGGCGTTCTGGCGTCGGTGCTCGGCTTCCATCGCAGCCAGCTGCGCCTTGCGCTTCACTTCCGCTTCGAATCGGGTCTGACGGTCGGCGTTGATGGATTTCTTAGCAAAGTAGTAGGCTCCGCCGCCAGCTGTTGTAATTCCGATGTTAGATTTATGGATGCTTGGATTTGCTCCGGGAACTGCTTCTTACCGACGCAAAGGGTGCCCCAGCCTATCCTGTTAGGTTGAGTGAGTTTCCATCAGTAATGTGTGTTCCAGGTGGTGTGGACGCTTAGCAGGCAGGTGTTTGTTGTAGGGTTCGCTCACCATGTAGATCGAATCTGTTAGATAGTGACGAAGCAATTGTTAGTGAGACACAATAGAAAAAGATATAAAGGGACTGGAACATACCGTGTTCATTGTGAATGTTATTCTGGCCTCGACGGGTTTGTCTCAACTGAGGTGGACTCGAAGCCGCGGGCTCGTAAGAAGCTCCGGACTTTACCTAAGGATTAGACTACGTCAAACCGGCCGGTTCCCTTTAGTGAGTGACACCCAGCCAATCACAGTGCTGTATTGCCGGATCGCCACTCGCCTTGTTGCCTCAGGCATTAATTTGTCATTCCCGAGCCTCATCTCATGCTTCTCGTTCTTGATCATCTCCCCTGCCTTATTCCTTCTCTCTCTCTTTATCTTCGTCGCGCTCTCACCAGCTTCTGTGCCTCACTGCTTCAGCTGGTCGGTTCGGTCTACGCCCTGGAGCTATCGAGCTGCCGTATTTCCTCACGCTCGTCCAGGCGCCGGTAGCCTTTCGGAGCACCCGCGTACTTTCTTTCACCGTCCCGCATCCTCTTCACCATATTAGACGATCCCCTTCGACTCCGGTCGAATAGGGAGAAAGCCACATACATACATAATGCCAATCAAACGCAAAGCTACGGATAGCGGTCGGTCAAGTAGAGCGTCGAAACGGCCCACACCTGTGCCGGATATCGGTAGTAGTGATGAATACTCAGACTACGAGGAAGAAGTCAAGGATGATAACCTGAAAGGTAGCGTAGAAGTGGAGTCTCGTTCATATGGGGTCTGCTTGCTGACATCTTCTGCTTGCAAGGTGTCTTGGAGAAATTCTCTCTCGAATCTTTTAGCAACAAGAAGAGCGCCGCCGTACAGAGACAGGACCCCGATTTCGGTTACAAGGACTTTTCCTCGCTATCGTTGAAACCCGATCATGCGAACCGCCCGCTCTGGATCGATCCTCTTAAGGGAACTATTACCTTGGAGAGTTTCTCCCCTCTTGCACCCCAGGCGCAGGATTTCCTGACTACTATCGCCGAACCGCTGTCGCGTCCGACCCATCTGCACGAATACCGATTGACAGGGAACAGTTTGTATGCGGCTGTCTCGGTGGGTTTGCTGCCCCAGGATATCATCAACTTTCTGGATCGATTGTCGAAAACGCCGCTTCCGGATACCATCAAGTCGTTCATTCTCGACTTCACGAAATCATACGGAAAGATCAAGGTCGTGCTGAAACATAATCGCTTCTTCGTGGAAAGTACCGATCCGGCGATGTTGCAGATGCTGCTGCAGGATGAAGTTATTGGTTCTCAGAGATTGAAAGGCACGGAGGGCATTATTCAGCAGGCGGCTCCGAAAATGGGCGGCCTGGTCATTCCGGGTACAAAGGATGCAGCGGGTGTCAGGCAGGCTTCGGAGCAGAAGCCGGCGGAAGACGGTGCAGGCGAAGCTCGTAAAGAGGACGATATCCTGCTGGCTATTCGCGACGATGATGACGACGAGGAGGAAGTTCAAGTGCACAGTTTCGAAATTCCCAACGAAGCAGTCGAACCCGTCAAGGCGCGCTGTCAGGCTATGGGCTGTCCAGCACTGGAGGAGTATGATTTCCGAAATGATGAGATCAATCCCACCTTGGATATCGACTTGAAGCCGGCAGCACGAATTCGAAGCTACCAAGAAAAGAGTTTGAGTAAGATGTTCGGTAACGGACGTGCGAAGAGTGGAATTATCGTCTTGCCTTGTGGTGCCGGAAAAACGCTGGTGGGTATTACGGCGGGCTGCACGATCAAGAAGGGGACAATTGTCTTGTGTACCAGTTCTATGTCTGTGGTGCAATGGCGTAACGAGTTCTTGCGCTGGTCCAACATTGATCCCGGTGATATTGCCGTTTTCACATCAGACAACAAGGAGAAGTTCCGTCGATCGACTGGTATCATCGTGTCAACTTACTCCATGGTGTCCCAGACGCGTGCTCGGTCGCATGATGCGCAGAAGATGATGGATTGGATCCAGTCACGAGAATGGGGTCTGATGATTCTTGATGAGGTGCACGTCGTGCCTGCATCGATGTTCCGAAAAGTCACATCGGCAATTGCGTGTCAGAGTAAACTGGGATTGACGGCAACGCTGCTGCGAGAGGATGACAAGATCAAGGATCTGAACTTTTTGATTGGTCCCAAATTGTACGAAGCCAACTGGATGGAACTGGCCGAGCAAGGGCACATTGCCAAGGTTCAGTGCGCCGAGGTATGGTGTCCGATGACGACCGAATTCTACTCCGAGTACATGAGAGAAAAGTCACGAAAGGCTGCTCTTCTATACATTATGAACCCTCGGAAATTCCAAGCATGCCAGTTCCTGATCGACTACCATGAGAAGCGAGGTGACAAGGTCATTGTCTTTTCCGACAACGTTTACGCTCTTCAGCGGTATGCACTCAAGCTCAACAAGGCCTATATCTACGGCGGTACTCCACAGAACGAGCGCATGCGCATTTTGGAGAATTTCCAGCACAATGAACAAGTCAATACCATCTTCCTCTCCAAGATCGGAGACACGTCGCTCGATCTGCCGGAAGCCACCTGTCTGATCCAGATCTCGTCGCACTACGGTTCCCGTCGTCAGGAAGCCCAACGACTTGGTCGGATTCTGCGAGCCAAGCGTCGAAACGACGAGGGATTCAACGCCTTCTTCTACTCGCTTGTGTCGAAAGACACAGATGAAATGTTCTACTCTTCCAAGCGACAGGCTTTCCTTGTCGACCAGGGCTACGCGTTCAAGGTCATTACTCACCTGCAAGGCATCGAGAACCTGGAAGGGTTGGCGTACGCCACGCCCAGCGAACGCCGCGAGCTGCTGCAGGAGGTGATGTTACAGAACGAGACTTCTGCCGAGGTAGAGCACGTCACGGACGATCTCTTCTCAGGACGTTCGGGCGGCCAGCGAAAGGGAGCAGTCAAGCGCAGTGCCGCGACACTCAGCGGCCTGGCCGGCGGTGAAGACATGGCGTATATCGAGTACAACAAGAGCCGGAACAAGCAGCTGAAGGACAAGGTGGGCCATCACCCACTGTTCCGGAAGCTGGAGCGGGAACGACTCAAGCGGAAGAAGGAGTTGGAGGATTTCATGCGGTAGTTGTGAAGCTAATACCCAGACCGACACTACCTACTATACTATACGACATACCCTGTTAGATTGGACATGCATTAGTGAAAAGTAATTTCACATACGAATGGAACCTAATTGTGCATTCTTGAATAGAGTCACCGGGACATGAAGCTGTAAAACTATCATCCCATGATCCACCTAAGTACACCCCAGCATCATCTCCACACAGTATAATAATAGCAGCTACAGTCTAGACCCAATTCCCAATGCAACATAGAGTAAGCAATAGCGCCAAACTCCGAGCCAGAGGCCGAGCCCGAGCGTGACCCCATCCCGTTACTAATAAGTTACCCCAGATCTAATTACCAGCCACTCACCAATCACCAGTTACTATTCAGTTACTAACTTCTGCAGACCTGAAGTAATTACTACTCATTTTGACCTCGGATATGCTTCCCCAGCCACCTTTTCCTTGGTTTCAACCCTGTGGGAGACTTAGATAGATACCCAATCACAATGAATCTGATTAGCTTTGCCCCTCAACCTTAATAACGAAAGAAACGGAAACTTTACTTTTGTACGCGAAAGCCCCAGTAAGAACGACCCATATCAGCATGACGTCGATCCACATAACCGTGCGTCGGTCTCGCGACTCCGACAATTCCGAACCAAGAATCCATACTACCTTACTTAACTGAGTAGTACCAAGTGACGATGAATACGAGCTATCCTACTAACAGTAGTCGTACTAACTGTAACTGGAATCGAATGGCTGGCTGGCTGGCTGGCTGGGTTGCTGACTGACCGGACCGCACTGGCCTGTCAGTTCAGTTATTAATAGGGATTTAAGCTTACCTCGTGCTCTATAAGAACCGGGGTTTAGTTGGCAAGGTTTCATCATCCAGATGACTCTGCGCTATCTTTCTTCATCTTCTTTGAGTCAGGTGCTCAGACGGACTGCTTCGACTGCTTCTATATTGCGCTTCAAGGCGCCTTCATACGATCTGCCGAGAATGAATTCATCAACTGCTACCACTACTAATATACCCCGATCTCTTCTGAACGATGCCATTATGGCAACATCTACCAATATCCACCTCTCGCCTGAAACAAATCCTGGAATCATCTCGCATAATGTGAGCGAGGAGTCGGCTCGTGTGGCGAGTGAAGTTCTGCAGGAGGATATGCTATCTCATCATGTGTTTTTTAATCAGAGTGGGTTTCATAGTATGTTCCCCCTTCCTTTCTCATCTCATGATATTATAAGGATGCTTGAAGGATATTGGCTAACGGTATAGACCACATCCCCCACCATATTCTAAGCCTATACGCCCTCGGCGCAACACCCCAACAGATCCGCGCCGCATATGAAAAGAACAGCAGTTATCAGCGGCCCAAGATACCCGTGGATGAGGATGTGGTGAATCAGATGGGAGAGGAAAAGGGGTTCCTGAAGTATCTGGGGCTGGGGAAGCATTATAGTAATTATCTGGAGTTTTTCCATCGTCAGATGAAGGAGAAGGGGGAGGAGAGGGTATTAGGGGAGTATCTCCTCTCGGATTCGGGGGCTGAGGTGGCTGAGAACATGCTGGGGAGGTTGTTTGGAGGTATCTTTCTTTCTGTCTTCCTTTCCCTCTCATCCTGGCTTGACTTAAGCGGGAAGTGGTGGCTAATTGTTGTCGATAGGTTTAATCCATCCATTTATTCACTTCGGATTCGGCCTCGAGTTCAATCAGCCTGCTATCGTAGCTGAAGGTCTGGCACAGGCGGCTGTTCACGAGGATTGGTACGGTCCGTTATTCTTCTGGCCTGTGGAAAAGGCAGCCGGGGGAGTGGCTATACGAGGGAAGAAGTCCATGCTGCAGATCCTGGAGGAGATTCAAGCCGATGAGAAGCTGGCGCGGTCTGCACAATATGATGATAGCCAGCGGATGAAGAATGGGGTGCTGAAACGGGCTCCAGATGAGATGATCAAATATGCGGCGGAGTTTACGGTATCGGTGGATCAGATTGAGCAGAAGATGGTGGAGATTATCAATACTGTTGGTGAGTTATATTCCCTCTTTCCCTGATACGTCTCTGCGTGTGTATCTGGCAGTGACTAAAGATGTGGATGTAGCATACTTCACCAGTGCCGCACAGCGCCCCGATAAACAGATCAAGTTCGATTTCTTCTACATTCACGGGGTCAACTCGACTATCTTCCTGTCGAAGATCATCCGATTGCCGTATCTGGATGACGTGACTAAAGCGCGGATTCTGGAGTGGACAGGCCGACTGGATCTGTTGCTCTATGTAGCGTATGGAGCAGCGGATTTGCATCTAGATGAGATTACGAGGTATCCGGCAGCGAAGAGCTGGGAGGAGATCTATGCTTATTGCAATGCTCAGTCGAGCGATGATGGACATCTGCCCAAGTTGGTGCGAGCTTTGAAGAATGGTGAGAGAGCATGTCGGCCGTACGAAGACCGGGCTGAGGAGTTGGGGTTGAAGATTAAGGGCGATATGTGGTTGAAGATTGCGAATATGGGTATGTTCATCCCGGACGCTTCTTATGGAAGTGGAAGAGTTACTGATTGGATTTTTTAGTGATGGATTCGACTGCTGGCCAGGATCCCCTGTGGGTCCGCGGAGCGGGTTTTGATGAGGCGTGGAAGAACTTGGAGGACCGACGATCCCGGCTGTAAGACATGGATTATTAGTGTATCCAGATTGTGGTACAGGGTGCTGTGTGGTTGTAGTATAGCAGTATGTCAGTGATAATCAATCAATTCTACGTAGCCTCATGAAGTGCGCATTCGAGGAAGGAAGAGAGTAAATACTAGAAAGCACCAGATCGGGGGATCACGTGGTGATTGGGAAGCACGAGTGGGGCGATATCCCCAACAATTAATGATTGGAATCGCGAGAAGCTCTTCTTCAATCCTTCGCCATCTTTCCATCCTCTCTTTCTCCATCTCCTTTCTTCCATTACTCTACTCTTCTTTCCTCATTTCTCACCGATAACTCACTCTCCCATCCAACCCCTGCATTTGCATCCGCATCTGCATCCTCACTATGCCCAGTGACGACACCTCTTCTCAGAACAGAAATTCCGCTCCCTCCGATTCCCGCCGATGGCCCGATGACGAGACCGCGTTGGACGCTGTCCGCCGCTTCGCCGACGAACAAGTCTCGTCCGTGCTCCAGTCGGTGATGGGCATTCCCTCCATGTCCTCGCGGCCCTCTCCCGACCACTGGGCTATCTTCGATGAGGAAGCTTTCCGCAGGAGAGACGGCGGCGGCGACGCGAAGGGGGTCGAGCATGCGCCAGGTACAGCTCCCGGTGCGGCGGACAATTCTGATCACTACAACCAGCGCCACAACCGCTATCCGGCGCATTCCTGGAGAGACTGGGACGATCAGTGGTACGCAGATAACCATCCTAGATGGCGCAGAAGTGACCGAGACTTCTTCGACTATTTCTTCGACAGGGCCTCCTTGTTCGACAGTCCTTTCTCCTCCCGCTTCTTCCACCCCTTCCACCGCTCCATGTTTTCGGATTTCGCTAGCAATTCCTTCGGTTGGCCCTTCTCCTACCTCCTCTTCAGCCCATATTCCCCCTTGCACCTGGAACGCCAGGATCAGTACCACTCCCACCGCGACAGGGGTGTCTTTTCGTCCCTCATGTCCTCATTGAGCCTGTCGTCTGAGAATGAGAACAACAACCCCGCAACGGAAACCCACTGGCGTGAAGCTTTTGAAGATCTTATTCGATTGGAAAATGGAAAACCGATGCTCGATCAGGACACCACTGCGCTGGCGAAGAGGGAAACCGCGAGAGATTGGCTGTACGGTCTAGCGAAACGGGGCAGCTTGGGCGATCAGTGGAAGATTTCCGAAAGCGGAAGAGACGGCCGGTCAAACCCTATGCTTGTGTTCCACGACTACACTTCGGACCGCGGCGATGGCGGCGAGGTATCTCTCGAAAGAACAGCAGACGAGAACGAGACCGAAACCATGACGGAGCTGGACATGTTCGATCGCTTCTTCGAGGACGCTGCTGCCCGTGAAAGCAAGGCCATTGCTGAAATGTTCGAGAGTCCTATACTGCGCTTGCTGCTGGAGGAGAGACGGAGACCCCGTGACGCCGACGAGAAATGGCTGGAACCTGTATCTGACAAGCGGAACGAGAACACGGTTCCCGATACGCTTCCCGAGAATAAGCTGCAGCCGACTCCCGTGACGGAATCAACTACAACCACAGAACAACCAACCGTGATCTCAACCATGACGAGAACCGAGCGTGTCCGACTCCCCGATGGATCCACCCAAAAGAAGACAGTCTGGACAAAGAGATTCTCAGATGGTCGTGAAGAGAGCAACGAGACGACGGAAGTACTGAACCCTCCGCATGGACAGAACAGTACAGGAGACTCTTCATCTGCCAATCAAAAGGAATCCGGCTGGTTCTGGAGAGATTAGACTGTTGTTCAGTCTTTGATTTGCTATCGTTCCACTCTCTTTTCTTTTTCTATTTTTCACACTATACCTATGTGATCTCAAGGATCTACTAACCGTTGTCGTCAATTAGCGCTGATTTTCACTGCTGGCGTTGCTTTTCAAAAGCATTCATGTTCCTTGCCACACTCACATTCTGTCTTTACGATTTCCTATCATATGTCTATATCTTATTGATGCTGATACCAATCTACTATGGAATTCCATCTTTCCTTTTCGACGTGTTTCCTCCATATTACCAAGTTAATCGTTGCATTACTCCATATTGTGACCTCACATCTTAGGGATTTGCTAGGATGTGCTTGACATGTGTATTACTGCGTATTCACGTTAACCTCTATCATAACTAACCGCCCCCTCTACATGTCTTCGTCTCTCCCAAAAGGATATACTAGTATAGGGTACTAATCCGATGCTCTAATCGGCCTTCACGCTCTTCTTCTGCGCCTTACCCGTAGTCCAACCCTTCGATTCCCAGTACTGCACACTGTCTTCCATCTTCTTGTACGCCCATGAGAACGAGGGATCTATACCATATTAATATTTATATTAGCCATCATCTCACAAGAGTCTCATGTCACGAGCGGGAAAAGAACAAAGGGGAAGGGTGGGAAAAGGAAGCATACACAAGAATTGCCTCAAATCATGCCTATTATCCTCAGGCGAATACTGTTCAGCATGATAACTAGGCGTCAAGACCGTCATCTTATGGCGATTAATCGAGTAATTGTAGAAAAAGTGGCGTGTCTTTTCGTAGATCTCGCGAGGGCTGTACTCGTTCCCCCACATGTGAAGTAGGCGCTCGTACATAGACCACGGCCCAAGCTTAGCGACTTTACGGAGATATCCGAAGACCGAGAGCTCGGCGTAAGTGACTCCCATGTCGGCTTCGTCGGATTGCACGTAGGTGGCGGTGATGGGCTCAAGTTCGGCGGTGGGAGTCGCGGTGAGGAAATCGTCGAGGATGGGAAGGTCGAAGGAGTCGCGGGCCCAGGCGATGAATTTCTTCAGGTCAACTTTACTTATGGAGCCGATTGGGTTGAGCTGTGATTATTAGTGGTGCTTATTCCTTCTTTGTAGAGGGGATGTAGACGTACATCTGCACTGCTGGCGTCGTACTTAGTCAGGTAGCCGCGGAGACTGTTAACGTTAGTTGTTTGTTCAATTTGAATTGGGATGTTATTGTATCAAACTGGGATTGGGATATGAACAGACCATTCTGCGCTCCGTTAGTATCCTGCCTCAGATGAAGTATGAGTTTAAGAACGTACCATCAACATTGGACGAGCCCAAAACAAGCAATCCACCACCGCCTGGGCGCTGACGGACCGTCGGTAGCAGCGATGCAAAAAGATATGAAAGTACCATCCGCAATCTGGCTTGGATGTTTTGCAATGCTTGATTCTCTGCTCGGCTACCGCCGTGGACTTTGAACTTAGGTTGGAAGTTTGTGACGATAGTAAACACGTTCATCATGGCAGTGATCACAGTATCGAAATTGAAGTCGGTGTGGTAAGCACCGATCTCTGCGGCGAGCAGCTTAGCCCGGTCCCGGGTTTCCTTGCTGGAGTTTTGAGTGCCCATGTAGCTCGTATGGAAGATGCGGCTAGTGGAATAAGTTAGGATTCGATAGTTCGGAATGTCCAGCAGCGGAAACTTACTTGCAAACCTCCTGGCTCGTAGTAGGAAGCCAAGTGGAGTCTGCTGGCTCGGCGCAAAGCCTGCGAACATCCTTGATGACCTGTTCGTTTCCTTCCTGGACAGCTTTGACGACTTCTCTGCACATCGAGTGAACAATAATAGAAGTAGCACAACTGTCGATACCTCCGCTGAGAGGGATAAAGTATCCTGCAGCACCGCTCCGTCGCAGATAATCCCAAAGCCAGCAAGCCGGACCAAGTGCGATTTCTTCCTCCGGGACATGATAGCGTGGTTTGAGAGTCTCAGAGGGAGCATAGCCGGGATCAGCATCCTCATCCCGACGGGACAACCTCGTGTCCAGATCGAGGCGGACATAAGGCGATTGCATGCTGGCCTGCATGCCTCGACTTGCACTAGAGCGGTAGGTCCGGACTTCTTCAATATCAACAGTCGCTGTGACAACCTCAACGTCATTCAGAGAGAATTGTGAACCCTGGGCCACAATGTTGCCATTGACCACAATCATTGCGCAGCCATCGTAGTACAGTCGATCACCGTCGCAGCCTTGTTGGTTCGCATAGAGATAGATGCCACCACTCTAGAGAAGAGTTAGAATTGACGCTTCGGGTGTGTTTGGTAGACTCACCAATTTCGTGGCCTGGGTAATAAGGTTGACACGGGTATCGAGCTTCCTCAATTCGTGGTGACTTCCGGAGGAGTTAGAGAAGATTTCGACACCTGTTGATGGGTTAGAAAACAGTGCAGTTAGGTGAATCTGATAGACGTACCAGCGAGACCATACGGGATGTGAGGGCTGTACACGTATTAGCAATCTCCTAATAAACAGCAGGACACGTAGGCCATTACCCGTTAGGAGTGAAGAGCTCTTCGCAAGTTTCAAGACCCAAGCACGTATCTCTAGTACTGATGAGTGCATCACCAAAGGGCACCTTGTATTGTCCCGTAATCTTTCCGACGATTTGCTCCAAGTAGTAGTCTTCGACTTCACGGGGTCGCTGCCAGGGCGTAAAGTGTCTCATTTCCCTGTAGTTCCCATCTGTGGAAGAAGCAAATGTCAGCCATTGACCCCAGTCACTGTCACGAGAGAGATACACACCATTGGCAAGCCACATCTTGGGACGGATGAGAATAATTTTGCGGTTGTAGAAGATTACACTAGAAGAATGCTTAGTTCGCCCATATATAATAGCGGTACGGTACTCATGACTTACCGGCAGTTCCACTTGCAGTCCCTATGGCGAACGGGCATGCCGACATCAACAACGATATCTTGGCAGTCGGGGTGATCGATGATGCGGGCAAACATTTCCCACGAGTGGAGATACGTATCGCCCTCGAGGAAGGCATCAAGACAGCCATATCCTAGAGCGATGTTAACAATTGACCAAGCAAAATGCTACTAAGAGCAAATACCAGTAATCTCAAGCTCCGGACCAACTCGGAGCGTGGCTCCAGCTGCCTTGGCTTTCCGAATACTTTCGATGATCCGCTCGCAGTTACCCTCGAAGTCGAGGGCCCACTGGTTGAGGGAGCTGAGAGGAAATTGTCAGTGGAAATTCACAAACGATACACCCCATTTCAGACACCCACCATGTTGCAAGAGTGACAAGGTGACCCATGGTGAGCGAATGCTTCCCTGCTGATGCGGCGGGGAAAGATAACAAATGAAGCCATCCACGAATCAGTTGGAGAAAGCGTGACTCGCCATGACGCACGTCACGTGTGTGGGGAGCTCCCCTCATGCCCCTCAATCGTCACGGTAATACCGTATCGGAGGAATTGCCGGGTGGGCGGTGCCTGCGCAAATGGTAACGAGCTTACCCGCCTCGGCATCTGAGGGGTGCTGATTAATCGCTGGTTATCGGAGCCATGAGGAGGTCCAATTCTGATCTCTCCTCTTTGGATATACAGCATTTTGGTTTTTTCGTATCCTAATTCTATCCCTCCTATCCTACACCATACATTCTATTCTTTACGCAATTGCCGTATCCTTAGTACATGATGAGCAACGATTCCCAGCTCCCCAACCCCCCGCATATACAAGCCGACTCCATGCTGGCCCGACGGTTCGGAAGGGAGACTGTGAACTATTTCTCCAGTATGGCTCAGTTATCCCCTGAATTCCATTCATGACCAGCTAATCACCCGTTAATTCAGGCTCCCCCTTGAACCGTCTGTCATTCCTCCGCACAGACCATGCCTTCCTCTCCGCCGCGCTCAAGCACCCCTCTACACGCTTCGTCCTCATGAAGGACCTCGCGCCGTTGACCAAATCTCCCGCGGAGCCCTACTATGCCAAATACGATGAGATCCGCAAGATGGTCTCCGAGTCTATCTACGACAAGTCCGAGGAGGACATCATCAAGGAGTACGACTCGCGCAAAACCACCGCATCCCCAATCTTCCTCGGTCTGGACGAAACCCAGAAGGAGGACGGTCTTGTCTGGAAGATCTACGCCGGAACACCCTACTTCGCACTGGACGTGACTCCGCGCCACTCCGAAGAGCAGCAAGCCAACTCCAGGGCCGTGATCAGCGACATGGAAGCCAAGGGTCTGACCTTCCTCCAAGGAAGAACTATCATGTCATTCCCCGCCAGTGAAGGTATAACTTAGCCCTACCCCGCCCCATATACAACAACCATCACTAACACCCCCCTCTAAGCCGCCATCTACGCCCAAGCCCGCGCCCTGATAGACTGGAACACCCGCAACACCTTCTGCGGCACCTGCGGCCACCCGACGATCTCCGTAAACAGCGGGACCAAACGCGCCTGTCCACCCAGCGACGCTGCCCTCGTAGAGCAAGGCAAACCCGCCACCCGACCCCCCTGCAACACCCGCACCACGATATCAAACCTTTCCTTCCCTCGCACCGACCCCACCATCATCGTGGTCGTCGTCTCAGCAGACGCCAAACGCATCCTCCTCGGCCGCTCCAAGCGCTTCCCGCCCAATTGGTACTCCACCCTGGCGGGGTTCATTGAGCCCGCCGAGTCTGTCGAAGACGCCGTCCGCCGCGAAGTTTGGGAAGAAGCCGGCGTCACGTTGTCGCGCGTCGTGATCCACTCGTCGCAGCCGTGGCCGTACCCGGCCAACTTGATGATCGGGGCTATTGCGCAGGTGAGTGATCCTGCGCATGAGAAGATCAACCTTGAGCATGATCCGGAGCTTGAGGATGCGAGGTGGTTTGAGTTTGCCGAGGTGGAGGAGGCGCTGAGGACGGGCACGAGTGTCTTGGGCTCTGGGCCGGGGCCAGAGTATAAGGAGGGGGCGTTGAGGTTGCCGCCGGCGACGGCTATTGCCAATCAGCTTATTCGGGCGGCGATCAATTTGGAGTTTTTGGGTGGGGAGAATGGGCCAAAGATGTAGAGCGGGACTTAGAGGATAGAAAGTACTACTAGGGTCGAGGGTGGAGTAGAGGTGTGGGTTGGGGATAGCGTTTATGGTGGGTTGGTGTTTCGTTTTTGCCGTATTGTTATCATTCTGTATGGGTTATGAAGACACGGACGGTATGCTAGTATAGACGTGCGAGTAAGATTTTATGAATAGAGACAGTTGCTCTGATTATATGCCTAATTTGTGAAGGTTACCACTATCCGTGCTAGAGTATTCCACACATGCCACGAAACATCAATCCAAACACCCATAGATACACTCGTAAATCATCCAGATCTACTACACTGCAAATACAACCCCAAACCCTATACACACCTGCAGGTAGACATTAAAAATTCGCATACACCGTCCCATCCCTCAACTCATGTATATCCTCCTTACTACTCGGCGACCCCACCTCCGCATATCTCCTCCCATCGCGCAACTCATGGATGGTAATTCGACGATGAGATTTCCTCCTTCGTGAGCCGGAGCCGGAGCCCCGACTCGACGAGAAGGAGGAGTCCGCGCGCCCATCAACGTTGTTCACACTCCCTGAATCACTGAATCCACCGGTACTGTAGGGAGTAGCCTCGCGACTTTCCTGCTCAATCGAGGCTTGTAATTGGTAATCGGCTACCATGGCCATGCCGTCTTCGTAATACCATTGGCGCAAATCAGTAGCGTAGGTTTGCTCCTCCGCGCCGTATTCGACGGGTGGTCCGTCGATTCGGGCTTCGTTGGGGCCGTTAAAGACGGCCCAGGCGCTGCTGTCGACGCTGGACAGGGTCATGGAGTGTTTGAAGCTCTTGACTTTGAAGTTTCGGAGGAGGATTGCGTCGCCTTCTTCTACGTTTGGCAGGGCGGTTTTGTAGGGTCGGAAGATCTGCGCGTACAGGATTGTGCCGGCTAGGGAGGGGTCGGTCACACCGAAGGTCAGTATGTAGTCCTTTCTGCCTGTTGTGGCTCGGATGGCGGGCCGGGTTTCGGATACGATTGAGATAGTGTCTGTCAGTGCGTTGTAGTGGTCGATGAGGGTGGCGAGGGGTGCGAAGTAGGAGAATTTGCTGCGTAGGCCTGGGTAGTTGCGGTTGAGGTTGAGAAGGTGTTTGCGGTCATGGCCAACAAGTAGGACTTCGTCTTCGCTGTGGGTTGTGTGGGCTCCTTTGTCGTCGTCATCGGCTATTGCCTGTTCTTCGGGTGCGGTAGAGATGGATCTCGCTTCAGACTTGGCGTCTTCGTCTGGTGGAAGATTGTCCGTCTCCACCGTCGTTGTTGTTTCTGTAACTACCTCGACGGTCGGTTGTGGTTCGTCTTCCGGCTGGAAATCTGACCTTTCCTGAGTAGGCTCAGGAGTTGGCGGTGCTGCACCCACCGGTAGGACAGGGACAGAAGGAATGTCCACTCCATTTATCTGAGATGACTCTGGCGTCACCAGCTGATTTTGTGGGAGGATTGGCATCTTGGGAACATGGGCAGCCGAGTCGGGCAGACTCAAGCTTTGAGAGGCACCATCTAGCGACAAGCTAGGATCAATGTGCTGAGCTTGTTCTGGCATATCTGCGCCCTCGCCATCCTGTAGCTGCTCGTGGGATGTATCCCCGCCTTGTTGTCCGCTACTAATTTCTGCCGGAAAAGTGCCCGCGTTGAAAAGCTCGGGATCGATTGGAGGTTCAGGATACTGTAGAATGGGTTCGGTACTAGTCACATCATGTTGAGTGATATGGATATTTTTTTGAGCATATACGACCTGCCCAGGATGTGCCTCGTGTGATAAGACTTCTGTTGTCCGCAAGTCCTCATGGTAGATGTGGGAATCAGGGTGTTCGTCGATATCGATGCTTTGCTTGGCGCCTTCGGATGGGGCCCTAAGAACAGCGCCCTCCGTGGATTCGATTAGGCTTGAATCTTCATAACCTTCTGGAAGATGATCCTGCTCTTCTGTTGCCTCATCTTCTATGTGCACCACCTCTGACCCTCTAGTATCAGCTGGCTCCTCGACATGTTCCTGTCCCATCTCTCGTTCAAGAGCAGGCTCGTAGTGAGCCTTCTCGTCGTGTTCATCGCGGGCTTGTTCATCGTTAACCTGATAATCGTGGGTTTGTAGGCCGTGCATCTCTTCATCCTGGACCGGTTCGGCTTCCGTCTCCTTGATATCAGTATCTCCGGAGTCCCGCTGGTCGTCGTCCATATTCACATCTCCTTCGCTCTCTTGGCCCTGCTCTGCTTGCTCCACGCTGACTGCCTCGTCCTCACTGTGCGCCTCCATGGTTGCTTCATGAGCCACCTGCACCTCGTCGGAATGCAATCCTCCATCCCGCTCGGTTTCGCGGTTCTGGCGAATCAGGTTGACCTCGACCGGCTCGACCTCTCGCTCCTGGGCTTCTTGATTGTCTCGCACAGACCATTCGCCAGCCTCTTCGCCGTCTTCATCACTGTAGTCCTCCGCCTCCGCGTCATCGACCTCTTCGCTCTCATATTCTTCGTAATCGCCTGACTCTGATGTGCCATAGCTGGATGCTTCATCCGCAGACGGCGATACGTCGGGTTCCCGAGTATGTGTAGCTGCTGGTGCTGCAGCGGGCTGCCTTTGCACGCTCGGTGAAGGCTCCTCGTCGCTATCGCTATCGAGCACGATAACCTCTGGTTCTGCCTTCTTGATGGGATGAGGCGATTCGGCCTCCAGCTCATCTCCCTGTGACTCGAGTTCAGAGTCGACACGGTCGTCATACCCGTCCTCATCATAATAATTCTCTAGTTCCTCGGATTCACCCTCCTCGTCTGAAATATCATCCTCCTCATCAAGTTCTTCCTCGTCCTCTTCGGCGTAATATCCATATTCTCTCCTGGCGGTATCATGGGCTTTCGCCGGTGATTCTGCCTCACTTTCGGAGATGAGTTCGATGTCATGTCTTGCTCTAGAGTCCGGTTGCTCGTCTACTTCGGAAGCGTATTCTTCGCTCAAGATCTCTGAGCGAGCGTCCTCGATGACTGAGCTTTGACTAGCGCTTTCATATTCGTGATTTTCGCCTTCTAAGTCGTGCTGTGTCGTTTCCATCACGCTGTGATAGAATCTTCTCTCTTCCGGAACCATGCTGGAATCGTCCCGTGCTTCCAATTGCCCATGCGCTTCAGCCCTTTCCTCATCCTCTTCTACCTCGGCCCATTCTTCTTCGTGTGGCATTGCTCCTTCAGTATCTCCACCTTCAAAACCTAAAGTGTAGGCTGCATGCGGAGTAGCTGTTTCTACAAGAGGCACAGACGACGTAGTATCCTGAGCATGCATAGCCTTTGATTCTTGCGCTCTTGCGGTGACCGATTGGTGTAAGGGTACAGCATGGGCAAGTCCAGTCTCAGAGTCCACATCAGCCGTTGTTGTTGTTGCATGCTCATCAAGATTCCTGATGGTAGGGTCTGGTGGCGTTTCCGAGATAGCCTCAAGGGCCAAATCGACGGCCTCCTGGTTGATAGTTGTCGGCGGAGTAGACTGAGTTTGGCCAGTAGTTGACACGGATCCGAAATATCCAAAGGGGCTGTTTGAAGTGCTAACCAAAGGTGAAGGAATCGGAAGGCCGGGTGAAGGTATAGGGTGAAGGCGCGGAGTGTCTATTGGGAGATGACCAGCGAAATTGGGAATGCCGTGCTTTCGCAGGCTTGAAGCCTCGGCCCTCGACACAATGCCGGGCACAAGAAACTCCGCATCGGATCGTGAATCGTCCAATTTCTTCTCTGCACTGAACTCGGGCGCCACTTGTTCTGATTCGGCAGCGGTACTTTCAGCTTGCGCGCCATCAGACGGCCCCTCCGGCACTGGTACAACGTCGCGAGTTTCAGACGGCCTTGGGGATTGCTTCGCATCCTCCGCAACATCATCCTCGCCGATCTCAGCTCTCAGCCATGCCTCGTCGTCGAACATAGCCGTCCAATCTCCCGGGATATCGATATCTTCAGGGCTCGCAGGTTCATCGACGAGACGCCAATCGCTGCCCCGCATGCTAAACCTTGGTCGCTTCCTTCCTTTCCCCGGCACGAAGCCATCCTCTTCTGCAAATGGGTCGAATATGGAGCTCGAAAGATGCCCCAGCGATGTGCGCGATCGTTCGACAAAGGCCGGTGACTGCCACGATTGTAGACTAGTGTCCTGACTCGTTCCATCTAGGCGAGGGTATCCGTTGGCAGGAGGGGTGGAGGGTGCCTCTTCAATCGCATTGTCGATAGTGGGCGGCGGGGGTGATGGGCGGTCTACTTGCACGGTGGAGAGATGTTGGGAAGAACGCCAGATCTGACATTGGTGAGCATTGGACTGTAACCGATCACTACTAGCTGAGTCCGGAAAAGTACCTCAATAGAAACGCTATCATCAAAGTTAATGTCCCACGCGATGCATCTTCCCGGCGTTTGTTTAGACACCTCATTGTCCACAAATCTCGATCCCGCCAGCCTAATGAAGACAGTATCGCCAATTCCGACGTGCGATTTGGCTACTTCTTCTGCGACCAGCCCATGGAAAACCACCTTAACCTGTCCATTCGTGCGTCGAAGGCGAAAGTCCGGCTCCGCTAGCAGGAGGCTGAGAGAACGGGTTGATGATGAGTAGGGCCATAGCAAGGTCACTACGGCGTGGATGGAGCTGTCCGAGAGATTCTCGAGCGCCGGTGCAAGCTTCGCGATAGGGATCGGGGTCGTCGACCGTAGAGGTTCGGAGACCGGAGGTTGTTGTTCGTGAGCGTCCATCGCTGTAGACGCTTAATGAGCATGTAATATCAGCATTTCCATTCCTGAGTCATAGGCCTTGCATACTCCGGGCGGAATGGTGTATGCAGGGAGCAACAATATTGTGGTTGTTGTTGTTATTGTTGGTCGATCGGATATTAGAAGACGCGCGGGAGAAATGAAGATGGAAAGATGCGGAGGTGAGCCCAGATTCCCCCCGTATCGGTGCGTAATATTACCCTTGCTTTTCTCCGCGGAGTTCGATGTTCAGCGGGTAATCTACGTCATGGTCGGTACGCCCATTATCTCGTTGGGCATCTCTGCCCGTTTACGATCTCGCGCAAGTGTATATGAGTAGGGATCCTAGTTAGGATCGGAAATAGAATAGATAGTTACTGCTTGCTTGATCGGTAGAGCTAGCTGTTTAGAGAAGATGTTGAAGAGCACGGCATTCATCACGAGATTGATGCAATCGTCATGGGAAGAGCTTATCGGCTCGCCTCCGACAACCCCTCGGGCTCCGAAACGAAACATACTATCCTTCCAACACTCACTCACTGCCCGGAGCCTGCCTCACTAATGACACTCTCCAGCCCAATTCGTCGTATAGCTGTCATCGGGGCTGGACCATCGGGTCTTGCTGCGGTCAAGTAGGAAAGCACCTGAGTGTGTCATTCGACTCAAGCCACTGACGAGAACCACAGGTATCTCCTTGCCGAGAAATGTTTCGAGCGGATTGATGTCTTCGAGAAGAGAAGCTCTGCCGGCGGAGTCTGGAATTACTGCCCGGAAATCCTGAAGGAGAAACTGACCACTGATGTGCCACAACTGGATCCGAACAAACCGCTCGAGGAGCCCCTATGGTACCCGACTGGAGGCCACAACCGACCTCAAGAGGCGATCTTTGTGTCCCCGCTATATAAAACACTGGACACCAACATCCCCAAAGAGATGATGGGATATGGTGACAAATCTTTTGAGCAGGACTCACAGGTGTTCCCGAAGCATTCCGCCGTAAAGAAGTATCTGGATGAGTATGCCGAAGACATTAAGAACGTCATACAGTTCGAGACGCAGGTGGTCGATGTGCGGAAGACGGAAGGCGCTCCCCATGCTTGGTCTCTCACAACAAAGAATCTCCGTGAAAGGGTAGAGAAAACGTACTCATACGATGCGGTGGTGGTTGCTAGTGGCCACTTCGACGTCCCATATACCCCCGATATTGCTGGAATCCAGACCTGGAATACGGCATATCCGGGAATTATCTCTCATTCGAGGCTCTTTGACTCAGCAGAGTCGTTTCGAGACAAGAAGGTCATTGTTGTGGGGACTTCGGCATCTGGATTAGATATTGGCAATCAGATCAACGAAGTGTCCAAGGGGAAACTGCTGGTATCCCAACGAACAGAGACCCCTCTGGCATCTGCTGCTTCGGATAAAATTTATCTTCCACAAATAGTGGAATTCCTACCGCCACATACACACAACAGAGCAGTCCGTTTCGCAAACGGCCACATCGAGCAGGACATTGATGCCATCGTCTTCTGCACTGGCTATCTTTACTCCTTTCCTTTCCTATCTTCATTGAATCCCCCTCTGATCACCGATGGCCGTCGCACTCTAAATGTGTACCAACACCTGTTCTATATCTACGACACAACGCTGGTCTTACCTGCACTTCCACAGAGGGTAATTCCGCTCCCACTATCCGAGAACCAGGCGGCGGTGTTTGCCCGTGTTTGGTCGGGAAGGCTCAGCCTTCCATCACAGAAGGAAATGAAAGCCTGGGAGGAAGCAAACATTGCCCAAAAGGGCAACGGGACATCATTCCATTTGCTACCTTTTCCGCAGGATGCGGACTACCATAATTTCTTGCATGACTGGGCGGCGACGGCGCCACTCCGGCAAGGTCTTGACAATAACGGTGCTGGGAAGCTGTGTAATTATTGTGGTGAGAGGCAAAGGTGGATACGGCAGAGATTGCCTGAGATGAAGCGGGTATTTTCGGAGAAGGGCCAGGAGCGAAGCTCTATCAAAAACCTAGAGCAACTTGGCTTCGACTATGATAAGTGGAAGGAGCAGGAGGGTCATCGAGATGCTCGATTGTGATAGAGTATACATTTAGATGATAGATACGAGTCTGCATACATAGATGTTCGAAGAAATCCACAAACACGTTTTGTCTGGGAAGCGAGCTACTGCAGTTCCAGTTCCCCAACTCACATTTATCGCAGCCGAATGCATACTCTACGATCTAATTATGCAAAAGCACCATGGAAAACAAACAAGCACTTAGACACCCACCATCCTCGTCTCTTCATCCCACCACTTCTTGAAAATGGTCAACCTCTCCGTACGGTCCCTAGCCATCTGTCTACCAGTGCCAGTCTATAATCCACATTAGCAAGAACGAAATAAGTACCAGCTTCAGAAACGTACCTTCATCATCCCCTCCAACTTCTCCAGCTTCTCATCAATATGCTCTCTCGAATTCTGCATACTAGCTCCAGCCAACTTGGCTCCCGTAAAGGTAAAGGTCCTCCCAATTCCAATGGCTCCAATGGCATCAATACGATCCGCATCCTGTACGATGGCAAGTTCAGGGTGTTGCTGCACAGCCAAGCGCACCTTCTCTGGATCCTTGACCTCAGTGGAGTACGAAACGTGATTGACCACCTCTTCCACCTGATCGATTAGGGCAGCTGAAGCTCCGGCCTGCTGCAACACAAGAGTCACCTTGGAGGTCTGTTGTTGACCTTCGATAGCTGGTGGGGCATATTTCTTATCGTTCACATCGTGGAGAAGACTTTTGTTTTGTTGTTAGAAGAGAGTTGTGTGTGGAATGGTAGAACAAGTCGTATGAGATAGTGGGCTACGGTAGTGATCATGGTTATGGCTACTTACGCGCTGAGGAGGACCACGGTAGGGTCGTAGGAGGTTTGAACACCATTAGTAAGGCTCCTAGCATTGTACTCTGCGGATAGAATGTTTTGGGATAGAGCCAAAACCCGGAGAATGTGGAAAAAGTCATGCGAGGCATCGTAGTTCTTCATGTGGTCTTGGACCGCTTTGGCGACGGAGAGGAACATCTCATCCCCGGCTGGGAGGAGATTTCCGTAGGGTGCTGCACGCGCTGATGCGAGGATGTTGTGCACTGACTCCATGTTGATTGTCTGTGCTCTTCCACGAGGAAATGAAATTGAGGTCTGGGCTGGTGTCGCGGCTGATGTGCTCGTTAACGGCGCAAAGAAAAGGAATGGATAGGGTTGATTTGGGGAGGAGGAATTTAGTAGAGAAATGCTGCAAAGCTTTCCCCACATTCCTGATAAGTGCCCGGGAAGCAGTGATGCTGCTTATCCCTTCCGCTTTTCGCTCCAGCTGATTTGGTAGCTTTTCCAGATTCAGATGCGCTTAAACGTTATGGCATTGTTTCCTGGAAGATATAAGCACGTAACTATAAAATAAGTTACTTCAGTATTGCGGTCGAAGTCAACCTATGTCCTGGAGTTCAACTTATCAGGCTCGCGGTCCACTTGCAACATAAGGAACCCGACGGGGAATGATGTATATGATCTCGTGCATAAATGGAGCCATGTTTAACACTTTCTTCTGGTTTAGGAAGAGAAAGATTCATCTACTGGACAATTCCAAAGCACTCATTCTCATGTATTCTTGTAATACATGGAACAAAGAGAAATATTACATCGTTAATACTTGAGGCTGAAAATGTGTGTTAATAGTTGAAGTTGGAAGCGAGCCATTGAGATGGCCTCAGTCAGATCACACTTACTCACTACCAATTCATTCATAATTCAATAACCGATATCGCCCGATGAATTAGTGTCAGGTTTACTGAATGCGGGTCGACTGAGATTCTTGTTGACCTCTTGGGTGACTTGGTTCCTCAGGTTTAGGGTTGCCGACTGTAGAAGCCACCACCGAATTGAGATGGGGGGTTTCCCACCCAGAAACAGTCGCAAGATCTATAGGAGTACAACTATTCTATTCTACAGGGCAGCCTATAGCTATAGGCCAGCTTCTAGACAGGAAGCTCTCTGTGCATGCAAGAACCGGGCCATCCGCTGGTCGAGTCTAGAATGCCAACCGGTGCAAAGGAATCCTTTCCGTCTTCGCTTCGGGGAACTACGGAAAAGCTGTAACATTGAAACCAACCTCCTTCTCCACAGGTCTTGTTAACAAAGACTAATTCACTCCAGTGTTACCCGATGAAATCTACAATCTCCCCTATAGAGGGATTCCCGAGCCTGAATTCATTCGCCCTCCGTAGGCCCGGCCGATAAGCAGCCATCACGTGCCGGTCGATCACCCGCGTTGGTTCCGTCGACTTCATCACCAGCTGGACTGTTCCTCAATCCATCTTATGATCCACTCCCTCCAAACTCCCCTCATCCTGGCCCCCTCTTCGAGGATTCGCCGTCTTCCATTACCATTGCTGCCTTTTTTAACACTGCGACCTCAACCAACCCTTCTACCTCAGTTATCTCACCTTTCTTTTAACATCCCATCGCTTTAGCTTCAACACTCTACCATGGATTCTTACACCTCGGCCACGCTCTTTGCCTGCGTATAATGTCGCGCAAGCGCAAGGCCTCTTCTACGATATATACAAACTACGGAAGCCACAAACGAAAGAAACGGTGGAGATATCAGCACGTCGTTCATTCAAGCGACACCGAGACAGACAACGATAGTGAAGCTCTAGGTGCAGACGAGTGGCTTATCAACTGTATACTTGACGAGTCCGAATCGCAGTACTTGATTGACTGGGAAGGACCGTGGACGCCTACTTGGGTGAGCTTAGTGACCAGTCTGCTACCTTCTGCCCTTTCTTGCTTCATCGGAGGTTTGTTGGAAGTACTGGGAGCTTCATTAGTCTAACTGCCCGCCGTGAAATACCAGGAACCGAAGGAAAACGCCAACGACGTTGCCGTGCAAGTTTGGGAGGACAAGAAGCGAAGAGATCAGGTCCAAGAGGAATTTGTTCGATGTAACACTCCACTACCATTACCACCAACACCGCCACCCGGCTCCAGTGTTCAAGAACACTGTAGAGACTCTTTGGGTCCCAGTTTCAGTCAGCCCCAGACAGAAGCCCCGACTGACGAACCCCCACCTAGAAAGTCCCCAACCTCCCCTCTCTTTGTTCTACCCAGCACTGAACCAGAACCTAGTCTGTGTCTGGATGACGACGCCCGCGGAATTCTGAGAAGTTCCAGTGTTGATACAGAAGTGCCCAGTCACCCGCCGCAGTCGGATATTGACAACCTACTTAACCCGGAAGTGGTTCCGACTGCCCGTGCCACTGAGGTCCCTGCTATCTTCTCGACTCCTCGCGAACCCAGAGTATCGGACGAAGTCGAAGAGACGCCGACCACGCCTTGCCGTGCTGGAAACACAGGCACACCGAACGTCACAGAAGGGATCCCTGAAACTCCGCATAACGAATCTTCCGCTGCGCCGGCGAACAAACCCGAGATATTGCCCGCCAACCCGGCCGAAGGAGCTGATGAAATACCCGAAACTCCGCCTGGCCTAGTTGATGAACCCCAGCTATTCAGACGTGCGAGTACAGTACCCGAGTCAATTGCTGTAAACAGTGCGCACACTCCAGCAGCCCGAATTTCCCCTGCGCCAAGTTTTCGTTCATTAGTCCACCAATTAATAAGCTCAATATCGAGACCCAGCATGGATACTCAAGAGAAGGAAGGACCGTCGCTGTCCGAGACCATGGAGAAATACAGCCAATTTGAAGGGTCGACACCGAGGGAGAAGCTCAGGAACGCATATGCACAATTGCGCGCAAAAGCGAACCCTGGCCCGGAGTCAAGTGCGACGCCATCCTCTGCTGGAGACATAGAGCCTTCAGCTCCTGTTTCTTTACCTGAGACCACAGCTCCTCTCAGTGTTCGAGTCGATAAGGAACCGACACATCCTAAAGATAATGAAGCGAACCAGGATACTACAATACCCCCTGTCGAGCCTGAGGAGATGGGACCTCCTCAGACGATTCAGCCGAGCGCATTGTCAATGCACTTCGCGGAAGAGCCAACACCTGGTTCGGTTCATCTTGGGCCGTCGGAGTTTGCTGTGCCTCTTCCAATGGATTCCAGAGTCAAAGATGACTATGAACGGGTCCTGACCAGCGAAAGCCAGAGTATTCGCGATTTTCTCGGCGTAACAAGCTCCCAACTCGACCCTGCAGAATATCAGGTTCGATGCCCACCGCCCATCACTTTGCTGTATACTGACTAGCAAGCAGCGTGATTCGCTTTTGCCGAAGATGCATGATATACTAGATCGTTTGAGCAACATTTCTACACACCCAGATTTGAACATTGTGGAACACATCAACTCCGAGTCGGACCTAGGGAGGGAAGCTGCTTGGGCTGAGTATTCAAGCGCGAAATTCTTGCTCTTAAGCTACCTCTTAGAGACAGCGAGCATGCGCGATATACATTTGGTTATTATGGTGCAAGGAGAGAAGACCCAGCGGGTGGTTGAACGTTATTTGATGGGCAAGGGCCTGTTGTATACACGTCCACGCGAGGAAATGGGATCGGGCACGAATATCGAGGTTTCCATGGTAAAGGATTCCTTGAGTTTTGGGATTCAAACCACGCGCAATGATGGGGTTATGGAGACCTATAAACCTCCTGCCGCTATCATCGCTTTAGATAAGTCTTTCAGCAGCAAGACGCCCACAGTGGAACACATGCGAACCACGTTTGCTCGCAACGGAAATCTGCTTCCGGTGGTTCGTCTTCTAGTGTCAAACTCCAGCGAGCATATCGAGCTTTGTTTCCCCGGTCTGTCAGAGCCCGAACGTCTTAGGACAGTCTTGCAATACTCCATACGTCTCCGTGACGTAGTTGGTGACCTTCAAGATGACGCTCTTGGAGTACAGGAGGATGCAGAGGAGCTTCTCTCCTGCCTTGTCTCGGATAACTTCAACGCTCATTGGTCTCTACCTCACATTGAGCCTTTGCACATTCTGAGCCCCGAACAACTTGAGTCGTCTCAACAAGAGCTGCAAAGCCGACCTGGTGTCGACATTCAGCTGACCAATCCTCAAGCCCAGAAACGAGCATTCGTGAGTCGACCAGGATGTCAAATGTTTCTAAAATGTCAGACTAACATCGAGATAGCAGGCAGAAGATGAGGTCGAACAATCAGCCAAGAGAATGAAAACGGAAGAACCGGCGCAGGAGCCAACCCAATCCACTGAATCAACTGGATTTCCTAGTCAACCATTAAACGGTGGGCTCCAAACACTAGAAAAACACCTTGTTCAGATGCAGAACTCGCACGCAGCAGAGCTCGAAAAGCTCCAGAAAGCTCTCGCAGGAGCCCAAGCCCGTCTTCAAGAAAGAGAGAACGTGCTGGAAAAGCTGCAGCACCGTTACGAGACACGAACCAAAGACTTCCACAAACTCCGACGGGAGCATGACCGTCTCACCCAAGCTAAGACCACATCCGACCAGCGAGTCGAAAAGCAGAAGGAAGAGCTCATGAAATTGAAGGACGAACGGACCCAGCTCCGACATGAACTCGAAGAGGCCCGCGCATCCCTCAAAGCAGGCGGGGGCAGCGCAGCCGAACTCGAATCAGCAAGGGAAGACATTCGGCGTCTGACTAAAGACAATGCATCGCTAGAACGCAAAGCCGAGTACGAAGCCCGACAAGCGGAATACACGCGCGAACAGTACCAGACCGCCTCGACAGTGGCCGCACAATCAGGCAACGAGCTTCGCCAACTGCGCAGCGAGAACGAAACCCTGAAACGGAAGGTCGAAGGAGACGCCACCCATCTGCGCGAACTCAACGCGAAGAACGACGAAGCCCGCCATCTCGCGCGGGTCCTCGAACTCGAAGCAACCCTCACGTCCCGCGAAGATCTGCTCCGCCGGAAGGAAGAAGAACTTCGGGAAATTCGGAAAAATCGCCCGTCCACTCGCTCAACCAGCACACAGCCGCGAAGCCCCAAATGGACTGCAGGTAATAGCCGGCCCACGAGCCCCGGCATCAACAATGGTTCATCGCTTGCAGGTCGCGGTAGTGCGCTCAGATTCAGCTCCGAAATGCCTCTTTAGTTCGATACATCGATACCACCCTACCTCTCACTACCTATCAACTTCTTCCTTCC